AACGACATCTAATAATGTAATTTTTTATACGCGTTTTGACTAAGTATCTTGCATTACGGTGTATCGCAACCAAAACCTGACGTTGTCGATAACTTTGTCATGTTCGAATCTTCTTGGGAAACTAACAACCTTCACTAAAGTGCGCACGAAGATATTCAGTTGTCACAATCATCTCTTTTTCAGAAGCAGCACCACGAAATCATTGAAGAATTATACATCGTCATTGCCACACCAAGATTGACCGGTCATACCGTTTGTGAGCATTCAAATAGCCATGAAAGTGATGGCATCACAACAAGCCTTTGCTGCGTGGAAAATGTTTGGTTGGTTCCATTTTCAATTCTCAAGGATGCGATGCAGTATTCTGAGTCACTCGTCTTAGTCGAAAAGACGAACGCATCAATCGAACGAATCAATCGAACATCAGCGACGAACAATGAACTGGATCCACGACAAAAACGAAGGATGTCACGACACTTGTGTTGGATGGCCTTTTTGTTTGCATCATTAAGATCGTCGGCAAGCTTTAGTCGTCGTTCCAATATCATCGGAAGAACTGCTACAACAGCAGCAAATCTACTCACTACAGCCACAGCAGCAGGAGCCCCAAAGACTTGTTCTTCCACCAAACTGTTCAGCACCATGACTGCCAACCCCTTGCTTCAAGATTGGTCTTCTCAGCCTTTCAATCTTCCTCCATTTGGTGAAGTCAAGACAGAAGATTATGAACCAGCTCTCAAGGAGGCTATGATCGCTCATTTGGAAGATTTGCAAGCCATTGTGGACTCTACTGACGAGCCTACTTTTGACTCTGTCATTAAGGCCTACGACCAAAGTGGTGGCTTGCTCGATAAGGTCCAAGGCGTCTTCTCCAATATGTGCTCCTCCATGAATACGGAAGAACTGCAAAAGGTGCAAACAGATATGTCAGCTGTCCTCAGTAAGCATTCTAGCAAGGCGTATACACTGCCCGGATTGTTCCAGAAGATTAATCAAGTCTATCAAACTCGATTGGAGAGTGGTTTGAACAGTGAACAAATTCGATTGGTAGAACGTATTCACATGGACTTTGTTCGTCAAGGTGCCGAACTGTCTCCAGAAGCTCAAGAAGAACTATCTCAGATCAAGGCCAACTTGGCAGAACTGCGCACCAAATTCATGCAAAATGTTCTCAAGGACGAGTCCACCTACGAGCTGGTGGTCACCAAGAATGATCTAGAAGACTGCCCAGATAGTCTCATTGAATCTTCCAAGCAAGCAGCCGTCGAGCGTGAAAAGGGTGAAGATGACTATGTCATTACGCTTTCGCGATCTTTGGTGGAACCCTTTTTAGTATTTTGCAAAAATCGAGATCTCCGTTGGCAAGCGTTTGAGGCTTGGACTCAACGTGGGCAATTGGATGAATCGCGGGATAACGTACCCATTGCACAGGAAATGCTCAAGCTTCGTCAAAAGCAGGCTCAGCTTTACGGATACAAGTCATATGCTGAGTTTCAATGTGTGGATCGCATGGCCAAGACTCCCGAAAACGTCATGAAGCTTCTCGAAGATGTTTGGACAAGAGCCAAGGTTTCCGCCGACAAGGAAAGAGAAGAACTAGAAGCCTATGTCAAAGAGTCTGGCTTGGACTTGCCAGGCGGTATTGAACCGTGGGATTGGCGTTTTGTGGCGGAAAAGGTTCGAATCTCCAAGTATTCCTTTGATGAATCCTTGCTCAAGCCATACTTGTCCTTGGAAAGTGTTCGCGAGGCAATGTTTGCCGTGTCTGGAAACCTATTTGGATTGCAGTACAAGCCTCGTCCCGACGTTGGCATGTATCATCCAGATGTTGATGCCTACGAAGTTCGCCGCAAATCAGACGATAAGCTGGTCAGTATCTTTGTGCACGATAACTTTTCTCGTCAATTCAAGTCGAGTGGAGCATGGATGAGCGAATACCGAAGCCAAACTAGGAACCTCAAGGCGACAGATGATGAAATTGAAGGTGTTCCCATTGTTTCCAACAACAATAATCTTGCCAAGGCTAGCGGTACCACTTTGCTCAGCTACGATGGTGAGTCAGAGACTGTTACGCTCGATTTACTTGCAAGACACAATTTTACTGACCCATTATGTCCACTACGTTCGCCAATTCCTAGATGCCACAACCATGTTCCACGAATTTGGCCACGCTCACCACGGTATGCTCAGTGACGCAACCTACGGTCGTTTGGCATCGACCAACGTCTTGACCGATTTTGTAGAACTTCCCTCCCAACTCATGGAGCATTGGTTTGCCGAACGACAAGTGCTCAAGCAATTTGCCCGTCACTATGAAACGGGCGAGATTGTTCCCGATGATCTCTTGGACAAACTCAAGGCCGCCGAGTCTTTCAACCAAGGTTTTGGGACCATTGAGTACACTATTTGTGCTCTCCTTGATATGGCCATGCATCAAATCGACAACTACGATGACTTTGATATTATTGAATTTGAAAAGAAGGAGCTAGAACGTCTTGGTATGCCACAAGGAATCGTGATGAGACATCGTCCACCACATTTCTTGCACCTTTTTGCAAGTGAGATGTACGCAGCAGGATACTACGTTTACCTCTGGGCTGAGGTTCTTGATGCAGATGCCTATGCTGCCTTTGAAGAAAAGGGTAACATATTTGATCCGGAAACCGCGGAGAAGGCTCGCAAATACATTTATTCTGCTGGCAATACTGAAGCTCCCGATGAGTTGTTCCGGCTATTCCGTGGGCGCGATCCAGACATTAGTTTCATGCTCAAGAAGAAGGGACTGGTGTGAAAGATCTTACAATAGTAAATTAAAAAGCGAGATTGCTAAGTTAGATAAGCTATAAGCTTGCAATTAATGTAACTGGAACTGCGAGTAGGACTAGTGTATTTGTGTCAACCTTCATTCGATGATTCTTGGAGTCATTTTTGTTGTTTGAAAAAATATTCAGCCGGTTTAGAATGCAACAAATATATCGAAAAATATTTTGTCGATCTAGCTTGTGAGAATTTTCACCAACAAATTGGACTTCAGGAACGCTGTCCATCATCATCGTGGTAGAGGTCGTGGCAGGATGGGAAAAGGGTTTCGTCTTGTTGTTGCGCTTATTCTTGATCTTTTCCTTTCGTTTAATCTTCTTTTGCAGTTTCGTCTGACTGCGTACTTGTCGCATGGTATTGACTTGATTCTTTCGAGAGGACTTGCTGCCATTCTTGATTCCACCAATGACATAGGCCACCATCTTTTCGGGAACCCGGACGTCCCTTTTTTTGACGATCTCGAATCTCTTCCACCTTGAGAAGCTTGCCTTGAAGTTCTTCATTGTGAAATCTCAAGAGGGCTTGATTCTTTTGTTCTTCGGTAGGAAAGGTGACAAATCAATGCTTGAGGGAGGCCATGTACGGACGATTTTAGTACACTACATTTCGCATTTTGAGGACAAGCACGACGCACCACGTGTTTCTTTTTTTCTTTTCGTTCGGCTTAAAAATATACCGGTATACATACCTATATTTTTTTAATAAATATATTATATGTTGAACTTGGCGCGTCATTTTTTTAGAAAACGCAAGACAGAAATTATCGTGTATTTATTGTAAACCACTATAATACGTGTAATCAACAGAACAGGAGCAAGCGGTTGTGCCAGTTGGAGGACTGCGATTAGTACTATTTCGGAAGCTTGTCAAGAGTCCAAGCGTCCAACCAATTGTAAGTATCAGCAAGCGCACAAACCATTCGCTGCCTCTTTCGTTGAGTCCTTTTGCCTTTTTGAGATTCATGGTATGGAACATAGGATATCTTTCCCATGGGGCAAATTGAAAATGGATGCAACTGAATGGAGCAGGTGGACATATGCATTCACAAAACCCGTTTGGGTAGCAAGCCAACTGAAAAATTAATCGATGCTTGGATCCATCCAAGAGTGACCCGCAACGGATTCATGTGTAAGGTAGTGTTGATCGATCGATCGATTGATTGTACCAATTGTGCCATGATGTCAATATTGGTTTCGCTGGGAAATGTTTGTTGCACTTGCTTTTGCTGCAACATTGCTCTTTATACTGTTGGTGGGGGTGGTCGAGAAAAATTATGGGAAACATAGCTCGACCAAACGTCAGACTTCAAGCCATCCATACTTCTACTACTACTAGACATTAGTCAAGATCCAGTCCATCCAATTCCCCCAACATTATAGCTGCCATGAAGATTGTCTTTCGGGATCTTACAGTCTCCTGCAGATGCTGCCAATCCCCATGGCCATCCCAATGAGTATAAATAATGAAATTGGTATCGACATATTTCACCCTGCTAGTATTGAGCTCCTGCTCGATCATCTGATTGCACAAAGAGTATCCATCCATCGTGGCCGGACTTCTCCAATCCGTGCAAGCGGTGATTCTTCCCATCAGAGGACACTGATCAAGGGTTGGCAGATACACCGTCCCAATGGGATTATTTTCAATCGTTTTCAAAACGTTTTGTACATGCAGCTTCAACTTCTCGTGATATTTACCAAAGGAGAACGGGCCGCCAGGGCTGTAATGACTGGCAGGCCATTGTCCTACCTGGACGAACAATTTCTCGCACTTCTTGCCCTTGAGCCTCTTTTGAATCTTATCTGGGTCCGGCCATGTAGTCCCAACATACAGCATCATCCCTTCGAGGTTGAGCGCACGGAGCGATCTTCCAGTCATGTAACGACTGTGCGAGTCTCCAATGCCACATATCTTTGGAAAATGGGTCGAATTGTCATTCAGTCGTTCGCGGAAGCGCTCGATCAATCCGGATTCCGAAATGTTCATTCCCCATTGAAACTCGTACTCGGGCAAGCCACGAATCTCCCTGCCTTTCGAAGCTACATAAACATCTCGATTTGCAAAGGAGTTGCACAGTTGTTTATATTCCGGTACCTTGTCGGGTCCGAAACAAACTCTTGGTTGAGATCGCGTGAACAACGGCCGGAGTGGTATACCTTCTTTCCGGATCCAACGTCCAAGACGATAATTTCCACTGGGCGTCGTGGGGGAGGATATCGTGATAGTGCTGCCCGTGTCGGAAGTGATTCGATTGTGCATGGCATCTTCCACACAGGAAACGGTCGTGTTGAACCAGGCCGCGTCACTGATTCTTCCAAAAGCTCCTACTCCATAGTCTTCACACAACAAAACGATAATCTCCAGAAAATATTCTCCGGCATCGAGCCATTTGTTGCTGTAGTCGCCACATAAAACAGTCCCTGGTGGTGTGTCTGTTGTTGTTTGCATTTCTTTCCAATCCAAGATGGCAAGCGCTGGTCCTGATAGTCTGCCAACCAAGGCAGGATGTGGACATCTCGCATCTTCTTTCAAATGAACGCAAACGGACCCACTTTGGGAGTTGTGCCATATTCGAGTAATATCCGTGGCGATGGTTGATTTTTCATTTCTTGGAATGTCGCCGGGCAAGGCATTTTCTTCCTTGAATGTAGTATTATTATTGCTGATTGGATCCGGTGATGATGCTGGCGGCAAGGTGCTCTCTTCTTTCAATGTAGTAGTATTATTGCTGATTGGATCCGGTGGTGATGCTGGCGGCAAGGTGCTCTCTTCTTTCAATGTAGTAGTATTATTGCTGATTGGATCCGGTGATGATGCTGGCGGCAAGGTGATCTCTTCTTTCAATGTAGTAGTATTATTGCTGATTGGATCTGGTGATGATGCTGGCGGCAAGGTGCTCTCTTCTTTCAATGTAGTAGTATTACTGATTGGTTGTGGCGACAATGATGCTGGCGGGAAGATATTGTCTTTCAATGTATCATTACCGACTGGTGCCGGTAACGGTGATGATATTGGCGGCAAGACGTTTTCTCTCAATGTTGTATTGTTCTTGATTGGCTCTGATGACAATTTTTGCAGCTCATTATGGAAGTCATTGTCGCTTGAAGTTTTTGGATATGAATATTTTTTCACCAAACCACCATCTCTTTGTTGTCGCACGAAGTATACTATTGAAAGTGTGAATACAAAAACCCATACCCATATCTTCTTCTTCTTGGAGTAGTCCGAAATCATCGTTTTGGATTGTACTGTACCTTGTCGTTCACTTCGAGAGTAATTCAGTTTTTTCTTTCGCCTCGTTCTGGCACAAATAATTATGTCTTCATCTTGATGACTGGCTGACGTGAAGTGAAATGAGCCAAAACCGCGACTACGGTACACAGCACATCCGCCAGTCCTCCGTGTGTGTGTTCGTAGTATTTTGTCTTGGTGTGTAGCTAGCTGGTGGGTTGTGGTGTGAAGCGGGTCGAACTGATCGAGTAATAGACTCGATTCGTTCGACCAATCTCAGAAATCCCGTGTGCGGTATTACTGAGAAAAATTGAATTACCACGACACAAGTGGGTGAATTCAATCTCAGTCGATAAACTGGGCATCATTGCCTCGGCGCATCGACAACAACTTTTGACGGTCGAAGGCTGTTCGGCCTTTGTCCGTCTGTAACACAATGTAGTCAAAGAAATCGAACAGTGTGCCTGCGGTCTACGTTGGATTATTTTATAGAAATATCACGTATAAATTTAGAAAAACAGGTTTTTAACAGCGCACCACCAGTCACAAAAAGACTCTACCAGTCATGTGGAAAATGTCCAGCCTCCGACCTTAGCACTTGATAGTGTGGCCATTTTCATCATAAAAACCCATCAGACCTCTTGGAGTCACCCTTTGGGCCTCCTGGATAGGGTCAATTGCTTGATTTATCCCTAGATTCTGCCACTAGCACAAAAAAAAGCTAATGGTACGACATATCCAAAATACTGCAGGAGTTTTATGCCAATAGATTGGCCTTCTTGGAGGATGAAAAAGGTGATTGGTGAGGCTTTGACTTGCAAAAAGTTCTTATGTGACGTATATTAGATGACAGCGCTTGGCTGTGGCGGCTGTCGCACAAGGTTGGAGGGGGGAGTGAGCTCGAACAGATGCTATGTATTTTGAAGCAAACAAATGTGTTTTCATGCCAGTCTAGTCCGGCCTTCTTGAAGGACGCCAACGGTGAGCAACAGTCTTACAGCTCGCTTGTGTGTGATCAATAGGTGGCGGAGATGGGCTGCAGTGGCTGTCTCACTAGTTTGGAGAGGGCAGTCAGCTCAAAATGATGTGATGTATTTTCATTTTAGCTATAGTGCTATCATAGTACAATTAGTTATTTTTGTTCTTGTGGCAGAATCTAGGGGTGAATCAAGCAATTGACCCTATACAGGAGGCCCAAAGGGTGACTCCAAGAGGTCTAATGGGTATTAATGATGAAAATGGTCACACTACCAATAGTGCTAAGCTCGGAGGCTGGACAGTTTCCCCCATTTCTCCAATTGACCAATGCCGTGACGGCAGCAGGCTATCTTAGATAGATAGGACTATATTACAAAAAAGAAAAAAGAAAAGATTTTCAATTTGAACAAACTGCGGTCTGTCCTCGCTTCATCGCAATATATAATAAGAAAAGACGAAGCCAATAGATCGATTGCCTGTAGCATAATACGTCCTCACTTTCCATTTCCTTACTACAGTCATGGCGGACAGTGGAAAGAAAGAGACCGACAAGTGTGGTCGTGCTGCTGATGATGATTCACACGAGAAACGAAAATCTGGGGAAAGGGAAGACAGATCCAGGTCAGATGAAGCTGACAGCCGACAAAAGGGAAAGGAACGTAGCAGAAGTACCAGTCGGAGAAGGAGAGATGATAGTGCTTCTCGATCTGGGGACGATGTCTCTGACGATGATCGTCGCCGTGACTCCAGTCGCCGTCGCAAACACAAACGAAAAACGAGCAGTCGAAAGTCGTCGCATCGCAAAAGCGGTCGTGTCGGAAGCGATAGTGACAGCTATGAAAGCGATTCTTCTCGAAGTAGCTCAAGAGATGATAAAAAGAAACGTCGGCGAAAAAGTGACAAAAAACGAAAAAAGCATCGTCGCAGTCGCGATTATTCATCGTCATCCTCGACATCATCCCATGATGGTTCTGAGAGAAGGAGTCGCAAACGAAGTCGAAAGGACAAGAAAACGAAGAAAAAGGATCGAAAGTCTTCCAAGAGCAATAGCAGCAACAAACCTCCACAAGACGATGGTTTGCCCACCTTTGGAAAATATGGCATTTTGAAATCGTCTGATTTCCACAAGGAAGCAACGCAGCGGAGCTTTACAGTATGGCTGGAAGAAGTCAAGGGGGTACCATCCTTCTCTGGCCCTAAGTGGGAGTTGCAAGAATACTACAAGGAGTACATGGAAGATTTCAATACAGCAACCTTCCCGCACATCAAGTACTACAACTATGACAAGTGGGAAATGGAAGAGTACCAAAAGAACAAGGAAAAGGCCATGTCCAATGTTTCCTCCACGGTTCAAAAGGATGAATTGTTGCATCGCGAAGCAATGATGAAAAAGGCAAAAGCCAAACTACAGGAGGAGCAGACGTTTGCCCGCAGTCTCATGAGCAAGGAAAAGGTTGAAGAAATGAAACACAAAGCCAAGTTACAAGCACAAATGGCACATGCATACAAAACGGGAGATCAAGATACCTATCAGCGACTCAAGAACCGGATGGAACCAGAAGAACGATAGCCTAGCATATAAGAGTATAATACTACTAATATCTTTTCGTTCGCTTTATTTTAAGATTGTGTTGCACTGCTTTTGCCCCTACCCTGGCTGTCTGTTGCCAACATTGTTACCCTGCACTTCCCCTTTCTTGTTGAATTGTCCTTCCCCTTCGCCCATTGAAGCTTCTCAACAAATAGCTTTACACCATCATAAAAGTAGCTGCCGTTCCGACAACGAGAAGAAGTTCCAAGCCTATGGATAAGGATGGAGAGGTCGAAGCCAATGCTATTGGAGCGATCGTTGGTCTTATTGTCCTGGATGGGGCTGCGGTGGGTGGCTTGGTGGGCGCTTGGGTAGTATGTACGGATGGTGGTGCCGTCGTCCAATACCGCAAATTGTCTTCATTCCAAGTGTTTTCAAAGTAACAGAATTCCCCTGCCGTCTTTTTGATTGGATCCGAGAGCTCGTCCCAAAAGTTGCGAAAGATGTCTGGTTTGCTGGTCGCTCGGTTGGCCCAGGTATTGGGAGTCCATCCCAATGCGATGGCGTGGATTTGCAATTCGCTGCTCAATTGGCTCCATTTGTAGCCAGAGTAGTTATTCACGTAGCAGTCCCACTGCTCTTGAGTCAGTCCCAGAGCAGTAATCTTGGGTTGTAGGATACCCAAATCGGAGAATGGAACGCTTTCCGAAACTGCTAGTGTGGGTTGATCCCACTCTTCTGGGGTATATCCTGCATCTAGGACTTTTTGGCGGTCTTCGTCGGAGAGCCATCGGTATTGTTGAAATCGAACTCCAGGAAAGGGAATTTTGGAATTTAAAAATGATTCGGCTGGCATTATTGCGACTGGTTGAGCTTGTTGGGCCATCGTCGTTGTGGTGGCGGTTGCAAGAAGCGCCATGCAGATTGCCAAGGCTTGGTGATAAGCTGTCATATCGATGCAATTGCTGGTTAGGTTTTTGCCGGAGTTTGAAAGTCTTCTGTACTCTACTAGCCTCAATGAAGGAAAGATGCCCAATTTGGTGAATTTGTGAAGGTTGTCTGACAAAAGTTGGCGATTTGGCGATTTTCGAATTTCTCAATCCGACCACTTTGACTTCAACCGTGGCGGGTGGAAAATTCAAGCGGGAGGCGGGTGTCATAGGTCCGCACGTTTGCCCCTTTCCACGTTTCGTCAGCTGACGAGGGAGACTGTCCATCACCGCACAAACCACTGAAGAATCAACTCTGCAAACCATTTCCCAACTAAGTCACCGGTGAAGCAGACATTATGGAGTCAGCCAAAAATTCAGAAACAAACTGTCTCATCTGCTTTTCTGCGCTGACAACTCGCGGGAAAACTCCATGCAATCACAATGATATCTGCGGACGGTGTCACCTGCGGATGCGTCAATTGCACGATGATAAGAAATGTCCCATCTGTAAGGCTCCCAATGAAACTATGGTCGTCGATAGCCATAAGGAGAAACTTTATGATGAGTATCCTATTTGGGGAGACGAACTCGGGGCTGGATTTATCTATCGAGAAGATGTAGGGATCCATTTTGAATCCACCTATTTCGAGTCGGAAATTCAACCCCTGTTTGGATATGGATGCAAAGTATGCTCCTTTTCAGCCGATGAGGGACCCAGCGCCAAGAAGGCGCCCCTTAAAATACTTCAGGAGCACTTGCGAAAGGATCATCGAATGGCTTTGTGTAACTTATGCGTGGAAAACAAACGTGATTTTGTTACGTGTTTGCCAAGATTTACTCCGTCTCAGCTTCAAAACCACTTGAAGACTGGAGACGGACCGGATTCTGGATTCTATGGTCACCCTGTGTGTGAGTTTTGCAAGCCGAAACGCTTCTACGATCTGGCTAACTTGCATCAGCATTTACACAAGGAGCATTACGAGTGTCACATTTGGTAAGTACAATCTTACTGCTGTGCATCGGCTACTATTTCAAATTGTGTTGGCTTATCACCTTTTTTTTCTTCTGTAGCAAAAAGATTGGATTGGAAAACCAATTTTTCAAGAATTACAAATCGCTCGAGAAGCATTTTGACCAGCAACACTTTTTATGTCATCATCCCAACTGTTTGGCAGCTCGATTTATGGTGTTTGAAAACGAAATTGATCTGCGAGCCCACGAAATGCAAATTCATGGAGCTTCTTCCACTGGTTCCACCAAGATTACGGTGGAGTTTCAGACTCGACGGGCTGGATACGATGGCAGTGGTGTCGGTGCACAGCAGGAGACACCCAGTGAATCAGACTTTAATTATGGACTGGATGGCCAAGCATTTGTCCCAGATGCCTTGCCCAATAGACCTTCAAATGGTAACAACGAATTGCACCCCCAGCACGTTCAACGAACAGAAGAATTGCGAGCTCAAGCCGCTACGATGCGAGAGGAACAAGCGGCTCGGGATCAAGTGGAATCCTTTCCCTCGCTTCAGGCTGCCAATGCTCCTGCGGGGTCCTCTGCCCCATTGGTAGGATGGGCTTCGGATACGACGGCACAGCGGTTGCAAGGGGGGCGGAGAAAGAATGCTGGAAAGGTCACTGTAGAAGATTATCCATCACTTCCAACTGCCGCCAATGCAAAGGCCAACGCCAAGAAGAAAGCGATTCGGGGCAACGTAGGCGCTGCACGGAGTACTTTTGCAGCCATGCAAACATCAGTATCTGCTCCCTCCTACGGCTCAGCAGCCACTCGGTTGCGGGCTCCTACCTCTGCTCCTGGCTTTGCTTCTTCTCCTCGAACGTCGGTGAATAAACAAGCCAATTTGTCGGCGGATAACTTTCCATCATTAGGTGGAGCCACTCGGCCAGCGCCATATGCTGCTGCCAATGCCTATTCCAAGAGGAATAATCAAAAGGTACAAACGGCCAACTATCCCGCATTGAACAGTGCCTCAGATTTCCCGTCCATGCCCGGCGGTGCCAAAACAATGTCCAACAGGCTCCAGGCGTCTGCAAGTGCTTTTCCTGCCATGCCAGGTTCCAACCATGTAGGGAAGAAACAGACACAAAGAGCGGCTCCTTCCCCGTCCAGTATGGCCGACTTTCCATCACCACCACAAAGTGCTAGTTCCTCCAAAAAGAAATCAGTACGAGACAAGATGCTAGGAAATGCCGAGACACCCTCATCGTCACATCAAGCAATGGTCAATGTACTGCAGGAACCCAGTCAGTCCGCGGTAGTTACTATTGAAGATATGAAGGTGTCTTTGGGACAAAAGAAATTCAAACAGTTAAAAAGAATGACCCGAGAATTCGCTGAGGGTCAGCTCGCACCAGAAGGTTACGTCGATCAATCAGCGTCGCTCTTTGACAAAGGTTATGACGATGCTGATTTCTGGTCCTATTTGCCATCACTAATCGAATCATGCCCGAATGCACTGGTCTCACAACGAGCGCTGTCGTACATGACCAGTCTAAAACACAAGGAACAAAGCAACTTGGTGCAAATAGGAAATGCAGCTCCAGCTTCTAGTTGGGGCGGAGGTGGAACGAACAACAGTATCCGCAAGCCACCTCCACAAGCCAAAACAACCCAACGAATGGTTGCACCACCAGCAATGAGACCTGCGACAATCCCCAACGCCGTTCCATCGAAAAAGAACAATGCCTGGGGCGCAGCCGGGAAATCGACAGTTACAAAGACCAAAGCAACTCCTGGTTCAGTCGCTTCAGCTGTTGCCTCGCAAGGTCCACAGGGTGGAACTGCCACAAAATTTATGGCCAAGCAACAAAAGAAAAAGGTTCCAGCACAGCAACAGCAGCAGCAAGAAGGGCAAAATGGAGGGAAGAAGAAAAACAAAAAGAAAGAACGAGACGAACTTCGTGCACTTGCCTTTGGAATTTGAACTTCCTAAATACCTGCTATTAATTCCTGCTACTATGTACACACACTGTTCGAGGCTTTGGAGAAGGTTCCTCGTCAAAGCGGGACTTCTCTAGTCCTTCACTAGCTGATGTCACTCACGACCCTCAACAATAAATCACCGCCTATAATATATAACCACAACACAAGGCATTCGAGTAAAGTCTGGCTTGGAAGGTATGAGAAATCTACATCTTGCCATGGTCTTTCTCGCAGCTTGTATACGGGCGCTCCCATCAGCTAATGCATTCCTCGTTCGACCCAATACACGGGCCCCGATAGGAGCATGGAGTAACAGTCGATGTTTTGCAAGCGTCACAGGAAATGTTTACACTGCCGATGCCAAAGACGACTCGCCCACCGTGCGTTTGTTTACGAAAGAAGGTACGTGAGCAACCGTTTCCTCACGATAGAATTCCATTCGTCTAAACCATTGGATTGTTCTTGTTAGGTTGCACGTTATGTGACAAAGTGAAGGTGCGATGGATTGCGATTGCGAAATGGATCATTCTTCCCATGATTTGATACTCACAATATTGGCCTCATTGCCTTCCATAGGATGTTTTGATCCAAGTTCGAGAAGAGTTTCCTCATAATCTGGACCAGATAGACATTACAGACTCAGAGCACAAAGAGTGGTTTGACAAATACAAATACGACATTCCAGTTCTTCACATGGAAACCAAGTTTTGGATCAAGCACCGCATGACCCTCGAGGAAGCCAGGGAAGGAATCCAAGAAGCTATGAATGGCGCGTTTGGAGAAAGAAAAGGGGATCCAAATGCAGCGGCATATGAGCGGAACTAGGTCAGCGCCTCATTGGAATGTGACTTGGAATCGGCTGGCAGTCATCAATGAGACTTGATTACAAGCATTTTATATGTTTGCCGAGACGCAGACTGCTCTTTCGTCATCCGTGCATGTTATGTTCCAGTGCGAATACTCTTTTATACAAGCGTCGCGAGAAGTGGGCATGAGACAAGAAAAACTAGATGTCCAGAATAGGATACTACAGTAGATCTTAAAAATATTCCATCGACATGATATTCTAGTTTCGGACTGTATGGCAAGTAACAGCAAATCTGATATACTACAATACATTTCTATATTACTGCTTTACTTACTTGTATACTATTGCTCGTTGGGAGCTAGCTAGCTACCTAACCATATCTACTAAAGAGCCTCGGTGGCCTCAATGTGACCAGCGAGAATGCTGCTTCCAATCCACATACGACAACATTCATGATTAGCGAGAGGCCAGTTATGGATGCCAGTCCAAAGTTTTCGGCCCATCCACGATCAAGACAGACCTCCCAGAGCTCATTGTCGAAAATATTCCAACATGTCTTTGAAGCATACGGACCTTGCAGCCGAAAGATGCCAATGTATGCTTGGCCTTGACAATAGGTATAGAGAGCACGTAGTGGATGATTGGACCGCCAAAGCATGGACAAGGTTGGTGCGGATCCAATATCCTCCGCGACACGATGCATGTAGTTGCCATAGTCGACACCATACGGATACTTTTGTCCCAAGACCATGTAGGACGGCGTGGATGGTCTCTGATACAATGTCGGATTCGTTAGATTTCCCTTTAATTTTTCCAACCACCACATGACTTGAAGCTCGCTCATGGGTGGTATCGCGCCTACATTGGGTCGGACAAAGCCAATGAATCCCAAATGTGGTCGTTCGTTGCTGACAATAAAATGCTCCGATGGAAGAGGATCTTCGTCTAGTCGGTAGGTGTTGGGCTTGTTGTTCTTTTCCATACAAGGATCGTTGCTTGTCATCATGCTCTGTTGGATCATAGTAGTCTTGTCCAGAAACGGAAAGGATTGTCGATATCCAGTGGCCAAAACTATAGTATCCACATCCACACTTCGACCATCTTCAAAATGAACTGTCTTTCCATTGTCGTCAATCCTAGCAATGGCCGTCCTGTGAAAGGTTGTGATTGGCTTGAGATGTGTTTCGCCGTAAACCCACAACCAGAATTGTCCCCACCATCCCCATTGGCGTTTGATTGGAACATTCATATGTGCCATTGCCGCATGACTCTTGTTGATGATATGATACCCACGTTTGATGGGTTTGGTCTCGCACGCCCACTGATTGAATCCCACGGACGAACCAGTGGCCAACAAAAAGGTGCGAGTGACCAAGGTGGACAACCACCAGCGGAGCCGTAAGGCATGGACCCAAGGATGCTCGTGACTATGTTCCAACCAATTTGTGATAAAGACGTCCAGCGGCCGATCGTTGGGCAAGGTATGGGGAATGGACAAAAAGCCTCGACGGACATTCATGGCGACCGACTGACAATTCTTGTTTTGCACGGCCCGGTAGCAAATGTCCATGGCCGTTTCTCCCGATCCGCACACCAAGACTCTTTGATTGTCAAAGATGGAAGGTTCCTGGTATTGAGAAGAGTGAAGAATGGTCCCCTGAAAGGCTTGCTGATTTGGCAATTTTGGAATGTTTGGGACATTGTGGAGTCCCGAACATACGGCCACCAAATCAAAATGCTCCGTCACAATCTTTCCTTGTTCTTGGTCATTACTGCTGCTGCTACTGCTGCTGCTCTCTCGAAAATCCTTGTATTGGACAATGTATCCATTCGTATCTTGTATTGTCATGACATCATTCTCGTCCGTGGTCTTTCCCCTACTACTAGCATTGTTATTATTGTCGTCTTGAACGGAAATGACTTGGCATTGAAATCGAATGTGCTGGGTGATATCGAATCGATCGCAATAGGACTCTAGATACTGGACATATTGATCTGCGGATGGGTGATTGGGATATGCTTCTGGCATTCGATGGTCCGAAAAGGCTGTCAGATATTTGGAAGACACCAATCGAGTATTGTCATAGACCTTGTTGACAAAGGTACCTCCAATTTGATGGGAGGCTTCCAACACGACGACAGTGGTAGTGTTATTCACATCCGCAAGGAGATATTTGGCTGTCACAAGGCCAGAGGGCCCTGCTCCTATAACGAGAGCGCGGCGGGGACCTTTGTTGGGACTCGACATGAATAAAGATGACGGGTGCAATGAGGGTATAGGATGATGTTCCGGTATTTTATACTTATTTATTGCAAGATATGATATGCTTGGATTTATTCTAAAGGGCCTATTGAAGTACTTCTTGGCTAAAGTCATAGATCCATCTTGTTGCCGTTTGGAAGAATCAACCAAGCAGGCAACAGCAAAGTAAAACATAGAAAGGAATTCTTATTAAAATATTAATCGCACAACTGATCAATTTGAGTTTTGGGTTGTTACCAGCATCTCCATTGCCACAGCCATTCAAGCAATAATCGATGCAGCCAGCAGCCAGGCCTTTTGAAAATATTTTGTTTACTTCATCCAACTTGGTTTGGCTACTTTCCCTGGAGCTTTATTAGCTCCGCCAGCAGGAGTTGTTTTGGCAGCCGGTGATTTCCCTGTCGATCGAAGTTTCTTGGTCGTCCAAGCAGGCTTTTCCCATGACGTTTTATCATTGGCGTAACCACCGCCGCCAGAAGGAGACTTCAATCCACCACCACCACCACCAAATCCAGAACCACCACTTTTACCAGGCACATACCCCTTTGGAGGCTTGATGGTAAATTGACGTCCTACCAAAGGCTGCCCATCCTTACCCACCCACTTGTTGCTGGCCGGGTCTCGTTTGTATCCTTTCTTTTCCCAATCCTTTGTCATTTCATCTCCCATGGGTCCATGTTCCGCTGGATTCCAATCGGGAAAGGCATCTCCACCGTACTGTTGCTTGAAATTGTCTGGAACTCGTGAAAAGATCTGCGATTCTTCGTAAGCTGCTTGCATGCGAGCGGTTTCTTCGGGAGACTCGTAAATGTTGTGTGGGCACAATTCCATCCACCATTCGGGAAGTTCCCCGACACCTTTGGGGAGTTTGGCTACCATTTTATTGTTGATATCGTTGCTATTGCTCCTATTGGTATTGCTATTTACAAAGCAGAGTCTGTTGTTGACGAGAGTGTTGATGCAGTTTTCGTTTATACTATATTGGGCACATGTGTATGTACTGTAGTTCCGAGTCTTGTGCCCGAAGTCGCTTGGGTCGACGAAAAAGGCGGGCTTTGAAATGAAATGAAAATACGGGGCTAACAAAGTACTTAAAGATCATTTGTCCATCACCCTTTGCAGTAGTGCTGTAGAGTGCTCGCCAGTTGCACCAGGTAGGGCTGAGGTATCACAGTATTGAATTGAATAGACATGAATACACAAGCAGCGAAAGGAATATGACGAGCACTGCATTGGCAAAACAGCTTTGGGATCTTCTAATCTAATAGTGGTCCTTGTAGTAGGTGTCGTCGTACCACTACCAGAGAAACGCCAGCCACTTGGCATCCACCAACCAACCAACATGAAACAAAGGTCAAGACCAAATCATTCCATCGTAAAACCTTCAACTCATCCCGAGAGTCGATCGTTGATGGCTTGGATGCAAATGACTGTGAAATGGTGCTGTACCTACTGTTGATTGATTGATTGATTCTTCCACGTTGAACCGAACGACTGGTGTCTGTCTGTCTATACGACGAACAGGTTTCAACACAGCTTATTTTTCCACCGATCGATCGATCTTATTCCCAACCATCATCATCGTCCAACAGTACCGGTACAGTATTGGGACGGCAGACCAGGTTTGGAATTATTTTAGTTTATCACTCACTTGTCATACATATAAACAAAAACACAACAATTAAATAAGAATGGCATCACTACCACCGGCACTCAACTTTGCCGAAACGGAAGAAGGCATTGTCAAGAAGTGGAAGGACGAGAATTCCTTTCACCGTCAAAACGAACTCAGTCTCGAGCGAGGTGATGAGGTAGGTTTATTATCATGGGTTTGGAATCTATCATCCAACGCATCCAAAGCTTGACGCAGTTTCTCACGATTGTTTCTCTTGTATAAAATCATCATTACCATCCATTGGTCTGCTTGTTTCATTTTATTATTATATCCTTCGATTTCAACTTGATAGGAGTACACATTTTACGATGGGCCTCCATTTGCTACTGGATTGCCGCATTATGGTCACATTTTGGCCGGAACCATCAAGGATACCGTCACTCGTTACGCCGCCATGACGGGGAAGCATGTCGACCGACGGGCTGGATGGGATTGTCACGGTCTTCCGGTGGAATATGAAATTGATCAGAAATTGAACATTACGCATCGGGATCAAGTCTTGGAAATGGGCATCGACAAGTACAATGCAACCTGTCGTGGAATTGTTACTCGGTACACCAAAGAATGGGAGTCTACCATTACCCGTCTGGGAAGATGGATTGATTTCGAGAATGACTACAAGACGATGGATCCTTCCTTTATGGAAAGTGTCTGGTGGGTGTTCTCACAACTCTTTGAAAAGGATCTGGTATACCAAGGTTACAAGGTCATGCCATACTCGATGGCTTGCGGTACTCCGTTGTCCAACTTTGAAGCTGGTCTGAACTACAAGGATGTCAGTGATCCCGCAGTGGTGGTCAGCTTTCCCGTGGTGGGAGAAGAGGGTGTCTCCTTTGTGGCTTGGACCACCACTCCATGGACCTTGCCTTCCAACTTGGCACTCTGTGTCAACCCGGAGATGAAATACATACAGATCTTGGACAAGAAGTCTGGCAATGTATACATTTTGGCAGAAACTCGATTGCCTCAACTGTATCCTGCCATGAACAAGAAGAAATGGAAGCCCAAAATGGCGGAGGAACTCTATGAGATTCAAAAGAAGATGACCGGAAAGGATCTCATTGGCAAGCGATACAAGCCTTTGTTTGATTTCTTCAAGAGCGATTCTTTCTACCAAGTGGTTGGAGATGCGTATGTTACCGACGATGCTGGTACCGGTGTTGTCCACCAATCTCCTGCCTTTGGAGAAGACGATTTCCGCGTTTGTTTGGCCAACGGGATCATTGAAAAAGGGGGCAACATTCCCTGCCCAGTCGATTCGAATGGAATGTTCACTGACGAAGTACCACCCGTGAAGGGAATGAACGTCAAGGCCGCCGACAAGAACTTGATTGCTCTCATCAAGGAAAAGGGACGAATGGTCGACAGCGGCAGCTTGTTTCACTCTTATCCATTCTGCTGGAGATCCGACACACCATTGATTTACAAGATTGTTCCCTCTTGGTTTGTCAAGGTTGAACAAATCAGAGACCAAATTGTCGAGAACAACAAGCAAACCTACTGGGTTCCTGCGCACGTCAAGGAGGTTCGATTCCACAATTGGTTGTCCGATGCCCGGGACTGGGCCGTTTCCCGTAATCGATTCTGGGGAACTCCTCTTCCCATCTGGGCCAACGAAGACCTCAGTGAAATGGTTTGCATTGGAAGCATTGCTCAACTGGAAGAATTGTCCGGTATCAAGGTCGAAGATTTGCACCGCGAAACCGTGGATCAGATTGAAATTCCATCCAAGAAGAATCCCGGACAAGTGCTCCGCCGTATTGACGAAGTCTTTGATTGTTGGTTCGAATCTGGAAGTATGCCGTATGCCCAGAAGCACTACCCATTTGAGAACAAGGAGAAATTCGAGGGTGGCTTCCCCGCTGATTTTATTGCCGAAGGTTTGGATCAAACTCGTGGATGGTTTTACACATTGATGGTTCTTTCCACTGCTCTTTTCGGAAAGTCCGCCATGAAGAACGTCATTGTCAATGGTCTGGTATTGGCCGAAGATGGAAAGAAAATGTCCAAACGTTTGAAAAATTACCCCGATCCATCGCTTGTCATTGACAAGTATGGTGCCGACGCCTTGAGAATGTACTTGATCAATTCGCCCGTCGTGAGGGCGGAAGAGCTAAAGTTCAAGGAAGCTGGAGTTTTGGGTGTCGTCAAGGAAGTCTTTTTGCCATGGTACAATGCCTTTCGATTCTTCCTTCAAAATGTCGAACGTTGGGAGACTGCCACTGGCAAGAAGCTTGTTCCATCCGTCGAAAAGGTCAAGAGCACCACCAACTCTACCGATATCTGGATCTCGGCCGCCACCCAAGAGCTCATCAAATTTGTGCACACGGAAATGGCAGCCTACCGTCTGTACACGGTCATGCCCGCCTTGGTGCAATTCGTCACGCAGCTCACCAACTGGTATGTCCGTTTGAATCGTGACCGTCTGAAAGGATTGGACGGCGACGACGATGACACCGAAAGTGGTCTGCAAGTCTTGTACGATGTCTTGCTCGATGTCACCTTGATCATGGCACCCTTCACACCCTTTATCACGGAATTCTTTTACCAACACTTGCGAAAGTTCCAGCCATCGTATGCGGAAGCAGCCAATGGAGGTGGAATTACCAACCCAGTCAAGCCAGGAAAGAGTGATTCGGTCCACTTTTTGACACTTCCCGCCTACGACGAATCCCGCCTGAATACCGATGCCGTCGAAGCCATGGAAGCCTTGCAAGCCATTGTCGAGCAGGGCCGAAATGCCCGTGAAAAGAGAAATATCAGTTTGCGAACGCCGGTAAAGTCAGTGGTTGCCATTCTACGAAAGCCATCCGAAAAGGTGGTCAAGGGTATCACTGGGCCACTCAAAACGTACATTTTGTCCGAACTGAACGCCTGGGATTTTTCGGTCGTGCCCACCGAAGAGCAACATGATTGGGTGACACTGTCCCTCACTCCCGATTTCAAGGCACTCGGAAAGAAGTTGGGAAAGAAAATGAAGAGTGTTGGCGCCGCCATTAAAGCGTTGGGCCACGACGAGGCTGTCAAGTGCTTGGAAGATGGCAAGTTGACATTGGAAGGAGTTGAGATTGACACTACCACTGAATTGGTATCCAAGTTGAACTTTTCAAAAGAGGGCGACCATTGGGAGGCCACACCTTCTGCGGATGGTGCTTGCGTCGTCGCTTTGGACTGCACCCAAGATGCGGCCATTTTGTCGGCTGGCATGTCCCGTGAATTGATCAACCACATTCAACAATTGCGCAAGGGCGCCGGTTTGGATCTTTCGGATGTTGTGGAAGTTTTCTTTCATGAGGAAGAAGGAATCACCCAGACTGAGGATGCTGTGTCGAACAATGTTGCAACCTTTGAAACCAAATTCAAAGGAGCCGTTCCTTTGCCCGAACGACTGGCGCCAGCTTGGAGAGTGGTATTGAAGAGTGACAAGGTAGATGTGGGTGGATCCAAGGTGACTGTGTCCGTATGCCGTCCCGCACTGGCCGTGAAGGATTCCTTGGACGAAGGTGTAAAAAACATTCTATCGACCAAGGAACCATCCGAGTTTAGTAGTGCTGGACAAAGCTTCAAGTGCTCGCTCGATGGCAAAGAGTTTGAATTGAAGGAAGGAGCTGACTTTTGGTTGAGTACAGCTGCCAAGACCAAAGCCAACAAGACGCTTACTTGGCTTTAGAAAAACAGCAGGATTGGAATATATTAGATTGTTCTGTATTCATTACTTTATACATAAATCTTGTTAGGTACAACTAGCTAGCTACGAGTACTGACAATAGCATTCTGAATTCGTGCATTTCATAGACTGATGATGAGTAAGTGAGTGAGTCGATCGAGTCACCTCCCCGCGTGACTCAAAATCGCGCCGACCGGCCATATACTTCTACTGAAACGTGCATTGTAGACTCTACCGGAACAAGTACAAACCAATCACCTTCAACTGTGCACAGGATCAAATTTGATCACAAAAGAAGCTCATAAACCGAAAGTGTTCGAAGAAACCCCACATAGAATAACAGTGTAGCTGTCGTGTATCCACCAAGATGACAGCACAGCCATCCACACAAATTTTACACAGCTCTGACTTTACTACTTCCTTGAGGAATAGCATAAGCGACAGCCACGACTGCACGAATACACGAAGTAGCAGCCAATCAGTAACAACAAACGACAAAAACGAGAACGAGAACAACAGCAACAGCAACAGCAATTGTTTCAACAGCGAAGACTTTCAACGCTTTCTGAACGAACATCGAGACACTTTGGAGACTCCAGGAGCAACTGCATCTTCATCGTTAGACCAACTCTTCAAGACTTCAGATTTCTTCAAGAGTCATCAATTTTCGGACCTTTTCAAGAGCCAACAATCCTTTTCCCAAATGTTTCAATCCAAAGACTCTTTTGCGGAATTATTTCAATCGCTGGACAGCGATCAGAAGAAGGCGTTCTTTTCTAGTGATGCAGACAAGAAGGACCCTCTGTCTCCACCGGTATTTCCAGCAATGGATTCCATGTCGAGGGTGAGCAGTTCAAAGCTGTTGCAAAGCAAGGATTGGTTGAATTTGGGATCTCATGTAGATGTCAATTACCAACAATCCAAGCTCTTCCGAGACACTTCTTCCTCCTATGGAAGTATTGATGCCAACGGTGATGCTATTGACAATGACAATGATGAACCAATGTTAATACACGCACCAACACCAGCACAACCGCAGCAACCAACAGAAGAGGCAAGTTCCAAGCCCAAGACCGATTGGGGAGATGTCTTCTTTGCCCAACTACAGCCCAGCGCGGCTGTTCCTCCTTTGAATACATTGCCCTCTTCTGCTGCTCCAGTGGTCCCACCACCCAAGACACTACCACCAGTGCCCTTGCCCAAGAAGAAGCGACCTGCTGCTGCCAAAACTACCGCAGCAACTCGCAAACAACAACAGGGCAAGCGCTACATTGCCAATCCCACCGAGACGGATATTCTCATGGGCCGCGGTGGTAAATCCAATCACCACCCCGGAAACAAGCGATACCGAGAAGAGATTCTCAACTTCAAAAATACTTACTCCCAGTTGACTTGCAAAGAAGAGAAGACGGGCCTTAGTCGCCACGTGGTGGACTATGTCCACAAGTACAATGGACGCTTTTTGGCCTTGGACAAGACCATCAAGCCATCGCGGTGGTATGAGATTACCGATGCGGTGGCTCGTCGAAAGGTCAGCCAGGCCTTGAGAGAAGATGGAGATCCAGTCAAGCGTCAAGAAAAGCGAGCTCGCTTTTTGGAACGCAAGCGTCAAAATGAAGAAGATGCCCGACGCAAGCGACAACTCTTGTAATAAACGAAGTCTAGTACAAGCAAGTCCTACTCTCTTTTCAACATTCCATACAAAACAAACATTCATACAAAAATTGACCACGGTTCCTGATCCACAGGAATCCACAACTACCTACTAAAAGAATCTCATAAAATTTTGATTGTCCTACCAAGCAAAGTCAATACCTACCTACTTCTTTTGGATCAAGCAAGGCACGATCAAATAATTGGATTGATTGATTCTACTACTACGTACTACTTACATATATATGTTCCATTGCTAGGGCTACACACTTCCCATTGCGACCAAGAAATACGACTGTACTGTCCTATGTACTATAGGACATTCCATGGTCGAAACTAGATTGGTCCTACACATTAGTCTACAGCATCAAGAAAATATAAAAATTAACAGTAAACATGAATATCAAAAGACTTCCATCATGATGTGAACAAGTATTTTTTAAAATAGTAGAGATAACTCGAGACATGACGAGAGGAGGCTTCATTTTTGGTGTTAGGGAGTCAGTCAGTCGAATGAGTCAGTCCAAATCATCTCTTTCTATTCATAGTACCGTATAGTCACATGAACGCTCTGTGCCAATGAGCAATGGTCTTTTGGCAGCAGGAAGAAAGCAAGAAAGGTCCAGCACTTGACTTTATGGAATGATTGAATCAATGAATCAATATGCCAAAATGGCAATACCTCGGCTGAAAGAACGGACCGGATAAAACATTCATTCTCCCTTACATCAGTGACCAGTACTACTGCTACAATTCCTTCTCGTCATCCTTCTTTTTGTCAGACTCGATTTTCTCGGTCGCATTTTGAATACTTTGAAGATAATGTTCCAAGTTGATTGAATTTTCACCTCCAATCATTTCCTCCGAGCCTTCATGCTGGCTGGCAGTTTGTTGGTAGCGATCATTGGCTTGCACAACTTGGTCGTGCAGGAGCTGCACATAGGGATTCACGCCGTCTCCGTACAATTCCAAAAAGAGATCCATAGATTCCTGATGGGCTTGATTGGAATCGTCAAATCGGCCTTGTCCAAAGTAGATTCGTTTCAAGCTTGCCTTTATGGAAGCGATCTGAGACCATCGCTGTTGATGCTTACTGATCCTGTTCTTGTTCTTTGTATTGTGTGTTCTTTGGTAGACAGTGATTGCTTCTTCAAACCAGTCCATTCCTTCCTTGTCATCACCAGCGTACAAATAGATCGTCCCAAGGTTGTATAAAATGTCTCCTTCGTAAGTGTCATCCGTTTGGTACATTGGTTGCCCTGGGTCAGCATTGCTCGCTGTACCTCGTCGATATTCCTTGAGCATGGACAAATAGCTATCCAGCATTGTTTTTGTTGCTTCGTCCATGCTCACTTCCGTGTACAAGTTTTGCGCCGTAGGTGGTGGGGTAAGATGAAACATGGAATAAAACCTCATTGCTACCATATATGTGGTCTTGCTTTCTTGGTGTTTGCCAAGCTGGCCGTAGGTATCAGCAATATTTGCCATGAGGCTCCCAATGCTATCCACGGATCCCATGTAGTACCACATGGAATAGACATTGGAAAGCACTGAGTCTACATGGGCATCACTGACTGTTTCGTCAAGAATATTAATCTCTCCAGTATACACCAACATGGCCCGTTTCATGTAATCAAGTGCCCCTGGGTAGTTTCCCGATAGCGATTCAACGGTAGAGGCATATTGCAGGGTCGTGGCAAAGTCCACACAAGCTTCCACATACGCTGATGGGTCTGGTATATGTTTTTGCTGGTAGTATCCACTATAAGTGGTCGTCGTTGCCTCCGAGGTTGGAAGATGCTCTTTACACTGTGAGTGGTAAATATCTTGGGCCAGTATCAACACTTCGCTGGCTCGTTGTAACTTGGGGCTCCGATTACTACTGGTAGTATTGGGGTCCTCGTCTGATTGGCTGTTCTTGTCATTTTCGTTGAAAGTAGACATGGTTGTCGTGGAAGCCATGTCTGCCGATAGGTCGTCACTATCGAGTGAATTGACTTCAAGTTTCTCTGCCGAGTGGAGCTGTATCAATGCACTTCCAACTTTGCCCAAAGTCAGAGCGTAGACCTGTCTTGTCTTCACGTGTTCGGCAGTTCTTATTGACTCTGAATCTTGGTCTTGTTTCTGCACCAATGATTCGTAGATTGCTAGAGCCGTTTCATAATGATCTAGCGCTTCCGTTCCATGGTCAATGTTTGGATTCAAATAATAGGCTTCACCTAATGTGTTGTACACGGAAGCTCGAAAGGATTCCCAAACATCATCAGAGCCGAAAGAGTCTGACCCAACAATTTGAAAGTGATCTTCTATTAGTTGGACCGACTCCTGGAGTACATTGATAGCCAATTCCAAGTCGTAGGGCTCCTTGTAGTCATGTACATGAAGGCTTCCCAGCGTTCCGCACCATTTGGCCCAACCCAATGGATCTTCAATTTTGGACATCTTGGGTGTTTGGTTCAACCATTGAGAAATGCTGGCGGAATAGTACTTCGAGTAAGGCTTTCGATAAGTTGCCAGCCCAACTTTGAGAATGTCTCCTTGATCATCGTTGGCGGAATCATCATGATTGTTTTTTGTCGTTGATTGTGATTGTCGTTGCGGTTCTGTTGACCACGCAACTGCATTAACACATACGTCATCGGTGCAATGCTTCAGCCGGCGATCTTTCATTGGTTTCGCTGGATCTACTCGAAAAGAACAGACAAGCTCTCCATTCTTCGATCCCTGTTCTTCTTGGCAAATTAATTCGCTAGTATCTGCCAAAGCAGCCTGCCAAAAGTAGGCGGCAACCAAAAGAAGCTGCCATAATAATCTTACAGCAACTTTCATCTTCCACTCGCACAAGCCACTTTGGAAGGGCTCTATGGCAATTCAGCTCTTTTTCGCAGTAAAATATAGTGCTGACCAGAGTCAGATAAGGGGCGGCGTGAATGACACTAAGATCGGCAGAGAAAGCATCAGTCGCCACGGCATATAATACCGGTAAGCTGCGATTGATGATGTTCTGATGTAGCGGACATGTTTTCAGTTTGGCGGGTGATGCTTGACTCCGTCGACTGGTCGATTAGACCAAAAACTGCTCAAAATATCGGAACGAAAAGAAAAATTTAGGGAAAAAGAAAAACCGGAATTTAACTAGAAAAATCATAAAATGGAAAACGAAAAAACCGGAATTTAACTAGAAAAATCATAAAATATACCCCATTAACCTTGATATCACTGCAGACTATTTTAGCAATAGTAGTAGCAAAAGGAAGTGAGAAGAGTGCAAAGGAAGCGGATGACAAAGTGGAAGGAACAGATCATTCGTCGATATCTCTCAATCGCCACGGTATATATAGTATTCCAGCTCCGTTTAGGTATCGGCGCCTTCTTCGACAATCGAAATCACCGTTGGACTCTTCCGTCTTGTATCTGTATCTATATTGTCACCTTGCCCAACGTCACATCGAGAAGAAAACGAATTTCTATTTCGATGAGTAGCCTATATCTTCGAATATTGAATCAATAGGGTTAGAAGATCGACTACGAAGTGGACTTGCGGAAGCAGTGCCTCCTACTGTTTGTTTCAAGAACTCTGAAACGGTTGCCTAGAAAGGAACACTTGAGTTGAATTCGGGCGGACAAAAAGCGCTGTCTCCTTCCACTTTTTCACACTTTCGTTCCAAAATCTCTTCAATCAGTGCGGTCATGTTCTTGCCCTCGAGGCCTTTGGGTACATCGCGAACGCAATCTTGCCACAGTGCGATGGATGCAGCCCTTGTCCGAACGAAGCAAACATTGTTGTTGCGTAGGCGCGTATACCCAGCCGTTTCAATGCTCGGCAGCAGATCAGCTGCCATGAATTTTTCAGAGTGCATGGCTACTCCTGTGTGTTTGTACTCCCAGGCCCTTTTCTCAATTCTGTCGAACCGCGTGGTGGACCACATCTTGACTGCATCATAGACACCATATATCATTCTGTCAGTGACGGGAAAGTTAGCAAATCCGGGGAGGACGAAGTGTTTGGAATCTGGAGCCTTCTCTGTGTTGTCTACCATCGCTATATTGAAGGGAGTCAGGAACATGACATCATTCCTCAACATCGCCACCCGTGTGTAGTTGATGTTGTGTTTGTTCATATAATCCTCCATCATGGTGAAGGTTTTGTCAATTGAGTGCCATTGCTTGACCATATTATCCAAGCTCGAAATGCGAAACTTCGTTTTGAATGGGAAATAAACCTTGATGCCGTTCTTATCACGAGTTTCTTGATAGCGCTCGAGCTGATACTTCCGTTGTTCCAGAAATGAATCATCTGTGTCGTTCACGATGACCACAGTAGTATTCGAACCAAGAACCGATTTCGCTGCATTTTCAACCAGGAAAATCTCGTCGGGATTCAGTTTCCCCCCTGCATTTTTTCGTTGTGCAGGTTCTTCCTCTTTGTGAAAGTAGTGCAGGAACACGTCACATTTGTTATCAGCGTTCGGAGTGAAAACGTTTTTGACTAGCCCTGGAAGAACCATAGACTCATATGATCGAGGCAAACCAAAGAAACATAAGGCACATCTTTCCTCCACCTCCACCTCTGGTTTCTCTTCATCAACAGGCAAGCATTTGGTGTTATTCTGGACATTGAACTGGTCTCGGTATTCATTTTCCCTGTTCAATAATGAATTGTTGAAAACTGGTGTTTTATAGGGGTTTTGTCCTGTTTCTCGAAGATATCTCACTGCAAGAAAAATGAAGAAAAGAGCAAGAAGAATGCTGCGACTGTTTGGTCTAGCCATCCTTGATTGCAACAGTGTGAGGTTTGTCGACAACACCGTGATTACAATACTGTATTAGTTTTCCTTCACATTCGGACGCAAACAACAGTATTCACATATATTATGATACTCATAAGGCGCGGCAATACTACGTACACGTGTACTACCTACAGTACCGCTACGTGCTACTGTAGTTCTAGGGTGACTCGATTCCTTCGACTAACTATTCGCCGAAAAGTCAAATCGAAGATTTTTTGCTTGAAGTATCCCAACACCCATAACACATCAATATACCATAGCATTTGACTCTTTATTGTCATCAGAAAGCACTACGAGGCTATAAGACTGTTCAATAATAGGAGTATCTACAAGGAAGTGAAAAGTCACGAGAAAGTGCAAACTAGATGAACTGACGAGAAAGTCAAAGGAACAGATCGTCCTTTGTCACCATCTCTCAGTCACTACTATACCGTCCTGGGTTCCTCCAGCTTCGTTTTGGTATCAGCGACTTTTTTGACACCCGCAATCATCAATTGGCTTTTCTTGTAGTAGCAGTGGATCAGTAACATGGGCGGCTATATTCGAAGAATGAATCCATCAATTGACTCAAATAGACCCAGGCATCCGTTGCAGTGCCGTCAGAAGGATTGGGAAAAATCGATGATGGAAGCGAACTTGCGGAAGCAGTGCCTCCTACTGTTTGTTTCAAGACTACTGAAACGGTTGCCTAGAAAGGAACGCTTGAGTTGAAGTCTTCAGGCGGACAAAAAGCGCTGTCTCCTTCCACTTTTTCACACTTTCGTTCCAAAATTTCTTCAATCAGTGCGGTCATGTTCTTGCCCTCGAGGCCTTTGGGTACATCGCGAACGCAATCTTGCCACATTGCAATGGATGCAGCCCTTGTCCGAATGAAGCAAACATTGTTGTTGCGTAGGCGCGTATACCCAGCCGTTTCAATGCTCGGCAGCAGATCAGCTGCCATGAATTTTTCAGAGTGCATGGCTACTCCTGTATGTTGGTGATCCCAGGCCCTTTTCTCAATTCTGTCGAACCGCGTGGTGGACCACATCTTGACAGCATCAAAGAAACCATATATCATTCTGTCAGTGACGGGAAACATAGCAAATCCGGGGAGGACGAAGTGTTTGGAGTCTGGAGTCTTCTCAGTATTGTTTATCATGTTGATATTGAAGGAAGTAAGGAACATGACATCATTCCTCAACATCGCCACCCGTGTGTAGTTGATGTCGTGTTTTTTCATATAATCCTCCATCATGGTGAAGGTGCTGTTAATTGAGTGCCATTGTTTGACCAAATTATCCAAGCTCGAAGGGCGAAATACAGTTTTGAATGGAAAATAAACCTTTTGCCCTTGCTTATCATAAGTTTCTTGATAGCGCTCGAGCTGATACTTCCGCTGTTCCCGAAATGAAGCGTCTGTGTCGTTCACAATCATTACAGTAGTATTCGGGCCAAGAAACGATCTCGCTGCCTCTTTCACCAAGTATATCTCGTTGGGGTTCAACTTTCCCCCTCTATTTTTTCGTTGTGCAGCTTCTTCTTCTTGATGAAAATAGTGCACGAACACGTCACATTTGTTATCAGCGTTCGGCATGAAAACGTTCTTGATTAGCCCTGGTAGTACCATGGATTGATATGATCGAGGCAATCCAAAGAAACAAAGGGCGCATCTTTCCTCCAACTTCATCTTCTGTTTTTCTTCATTCACTGGTATACAATCGGTGTTGTTTTGGTCATTGAACCCGTTTCGGTCTGCATTATTAAAGTTCGACGAATAGGTGAATACTGGTGTTCTTGAACGGAAATTGCGATTGAGTCCGGTTTCTTGACGGTATCTCACTAGAAGAAAAATGAAGAAAAAGGCAATGACGATGCTATGGCTGTTTTGTCTAGCCATCCTTGATTGCAAGGATATGATGTTTGTGGACAACAACACAGTAATTGCAATAATATGTGTTGATGATGTCGATATACAATAGGTACGTTTTGTCCGATCTTTTCGGGGTAATGACTCTTTGAAATCCCCCGACGAAGTTCCTTCATTAGATTTCCCTCTTTTCACCATTCAAATTTTGAAAATGCGCACGTGTTGTTTTGTGAGTTTTGAACAGAATCTTCATCAAAACCTGTCAAAAAAGAATACTATACTTGAGCACCATCAAAACAGTCTCATGAAATGATTTCACCATGAGTCAAGTGATTGATCTGTGCTGTAGTAGTAGTGATGAGGAGGATGACGACACTGCCCCCCAAGAAGAGGTCGATGATCAGGATGATGATTCATCAGACGATGAAGTCGAATTCGTCGGCAGCAGCACCCAAGTGGTAGCTTCCAAGCCCAATAACACTTTTGTGAGCCCAGACGACACGCCTGAAAAGAACGAAACGACACAACAGAACAGTAATCCATCTAGTGCCAGAAGAACTCTTTTTGGCAGAAACGACACACGGAACAGAAATAAGACTGCCTACGCTTTGGATTCTGACAGTTCGTCGGACGATGATGAGCTTCTGAACTACAACGTTCTCAACTTTCGGTCCAAGAAAACTTCCGCTGCATCTTCGTCATCACTGAAGGAAAAAGCAAAAACGTCAACCTTCAAGCCAAGCCCATTGATTGCAGCTCGCAAGGAAAACAATGCCGTTTTGTCTCCACCCTCCAACCCTGAACTGAAACGAACGAGATTGCATTCTCCTATTACAGTACAAGAGCCGATGAAGCCTGCCGCAGCACCCGTTGCAAAGATTGTAAATCCATACTCGAAACAGGGAAGAAAAAAAATTCCACCTAGAAATGAGTTAGCTTCCCTGACCAGCAAATCGACTGCTTCGCAATACTACCCGCAAATGGCACAATCCTCACTATACGACGATTTGCGGCCACGATACCTCTTGACTTTTTGGAAGTTTGCTCAGACATTGCAGGACGCTTCTTACAATCTTGTCAAATTAGATCAGTACTCGAAACGAGTGAACGCGTTGGCGCTGTCCCGTTTCCCGTTTCGGTCGTTTGAGGAATATTGCATTCGGTTCGCCAACACTTCAGATACGAGTGGAATTCAAGATGCCCTTCGAATAGGCAATATTAACAACTTTGCCTCATTATTAAAGCAATGTAATAATGGGAATGGCAGGTACTTTTCCATCTCAGAAGCATGTTTGGTCGCCCTTCTGGAACATGTCGAATCCGAGACTACACGAAACGACACTTTGAAGCTACGGGACATGGACGAGATTGTCCTAGTCGACTTTTTGCAACGCAAGGAATCTTGGCTGCTCCTTTCCGAACTAATACCGATGATCGACTCCCGCCTCAATCCAGTTTGTCCAGGACGGCTGACAAGATTTCATGACGGGGACAATGGCGCTGCTTTTTACACTGAAAAGTCAACACGTTCCACCGAATACAAGCAAATTGAGAAACTTCAGACCAAGCCACGGGGTGAAGACTCATCCTACATCAAGTTACATCGACACAAAGGTAGGGTGTGCTACGAACTTACCAAGATGGGTTATGAAACGGCACTTTGGATCCGAAATCGCCAGTTCCCTGAAGGAAAGGGACATTACCGAACGAGTAATCTAGTACAAGTAGACCCACGATTCGATGGCATATCCTTGGCGGTAGACAACCGTGAAGGTGGTGGACCAAAGAAAAAATTGCACTACATGTGCAACAAGCTCGATACCTTGAAAATACCATACTTTGTACACCCATTGAGTATCGGAGACTACTGTTTTTTTGCGGGCGACAAGTTGCTTCCAATCTTGATCGAGCGAAAGTCGATTCAAGATGTGGCCCATTCCATTTACGACAAGAGGTGGGTGAATCAGAAGAAACGAATGTACCATGGACAGTATGTCTTTGGTCATCAGAACTGTCGTATGGCCTACATCATTGAAGGTAGGAAAGAAAGTCAGCAACTTTCGGGAGGATATGTCGGACAGCTACAGCACAATGTCAGCAGCGAACAGTTCGATAAGGAAATTGAAAATCTACAGTCCGAAGGGTTCGATGTACTACATACACAGTGAGTAAAGGAAGGTTGTCGTAGTATCCAGTACAAGTGACATCTCGTCTTCTAAAGATTTTCTCTCACCCTAGGTCCCCAGATCATTCCATGGTCGAGCTTTCCAGATGGGCCGCAAAAGTTCTCCAAGACTACCGGAGTAACAAGATGAAAACCGAATTTACACTTGAAGAGTTTCAACGGGAAGTCAAAAAGATTCCAAAAGGCGTAAACTTTTCAAAAATTGCGAGGGATTGGGCAGAATCCAAACCATCTTTGGAGGAGAAAGTTACGGACACTGTTGACTTGACTGTAGCCAGCAATAAGGAATCCAAGCAATTGAAGCTTGCATTCGAAAAACCAACGAAAGCGCACAACGAATACACTGGCTGGAAGGTTTCGGAGTTGCAGCAGGAATGTGTCAAGTTTGGATTGTCAAAAACAGGCAAAAAAGCTGATTTGATCGATCGATTGAATGGTCCTCGTCCACCGAGTGTTCTACTTGAACGCAAAGCAAAGGGCTGCTATGTTCCATCACGGTATAATACTTGTGCAACAGCACTACTAGTAGCATTATATTTGGAACAGGAGAAAAATGGACCAGATTGGAAAGGGATGACAAAGGACGAACTCTACGCACTGACAGAAGCATTGGATATATCAAAGGATCCTTTCAGCGGAGTCCAAACTGGGCAATACAAATACGATGGATGGAGTTCCATGTCGGACTTGAGAGGCGGCGAGTTTCCTTTGGTTCTTCTTCAACGAGGGCACTTCAGGCTTACGACGGGCACCGATATTTCCGGCTACCCTCTCGCCAAGGCACTCCACAAGTGGTGCTTAGAGCATGGGAAATGTACCTGTCAAACCCTTGGGTACCATCCTAGCGATTGAGAAGAATCTATTTGGCTCCGTATCATGGAAACCCGTTCTCTCTGCCTGTGTCTTACCTACTATTAGATGTTATTTGCGCATTCAGGGCTACATCCCCCAAATTCAGATAGGATTTCCCACTATTCAATCGGATTGATGTCAATTATTGCCTATAGAAGGAGCAAATAGTAGCATCACACCGACTAGATACATAAGATAGCATCGAGAAGGGATGATGACTTCATTCATTGTCCCTTCTCAATGCATCTTCGCTTCGCCACAGTCGAGTTGACTCATGACGGAGTTTTTTTAAATATCGGCATTTAGAGCCACCGAAACGTTGAACCCGTGGAACCCTACCAGGTACGTGTACCAGGTACACGTAAGGGGTAAACAACCACCTTTTAATTACTAAAATACGGGAGTGTCGACCTGTTCGACAAAAAGATTCTCCGCCCGGCACTATTACTTGTCACAGAAATACCTACTGTAGTAGCTTCGGCACCAGTCGTCAGACATAATCATTATCAAGAACACAAAGGGTTTGATTGGAAATTGAACACAGCACTGTCTCTACCGAAAGAACAAACAAGTCTCTCTACATTCATACAAAATGGGAATGCGAACTGGCTTAGAGGGATGCAGTATCCCATTTGGAAAAGTGTTTAAGGCTCCCGTCAGCATTCACTGGACATTCATCTTCAACTTTTTGTTTCAAGTCATCTATGCCATCATCAACCACACTTCTTCCTGGAAATACATTGTTATGGTTGCCATGATTTGGGGGCCCTTTGCTCTTATGGTTGTCTACGTTCACGAAGTCGGTCATCTCTACGCCAACAAAAAATACGGAGGAACCACCTACAAGGCAACCCTTTGGCCTTTAGGTGGCTTTTCCGAGTGTTACATTGAACAATGCACCTGTATGCAAGAGTTTTTTGTTGCCCTCGCAGGCCCAGTGACGCACATTCCACAATTCTTCATCTGGTTAATCGTCATGCTGGCTTCCTCCGACGTTGGGATTGACTATTACCAGCAGCCGTTTTCCTTTGCTGCCTTTGACGCCGGAGGTCCGGACGATTTTTTTGCCGAGTTTGGAAAGCAAATGTTGAACTTCAACTTGGTGCTCTTTGTTCTGAACCTCTTCATTCCGGTGTATCCTTTGGATTCTGCTAGAATGCTGGTAAGTGTCCTTGTCGTTTTGCAGTTTATGGTGTCTAGCGTTCAGGAGGTGGAACTTTCTCGTCGAAGTTTTGCTGAATGCAATGGCTCACCGGTCCATTTTCGAAAAATAATAATCACAGGCTGCAGTTCTTGTTCAATGCGGGTTGACGACAGATAGATCATGTCTAGTTTTGATCATCTTTGGGTTTCTTCTTGGCTTGGGATGTCTGATCTATGGAATTATGGGGATTGTTGGAAGTTCTAACGACGGCATCACCTATCTACTCGCAGGACTGTTTCTGCTGTACACGATTTATGGATTGTTTCAATATTACAATCGGCGCAAGGTTACGAGCCACCCCCTATTCGATGCCGACTGTTACCGTGAGCGACGAACTTTTGTCGGTGGATCAAATGGAGTTTCTCGCAACTACACAAATGGTCGTGCGACAGATGCAGCCCCCCGCAGTCGAGCCGATATTGAAAATGGAAAGAAAAGCCGACCGTCAACCTTTTTGCAAGACGATGAATTCAAACTGCGCAAGACAAAGGAAGTCAAGCAAAAGAGAGTCTCGGATTCCAAGCCAAAGGTACCGTCGAATAAGAAAATGTCATATGGCAAGGCTTTGAAGAAAGCACAAAAGATGAAGATGGGGGAATTGAAGAGGGAATGCGAGCAGCGTGGAATTTATACAAACTCGTTTGTGGAAAAAGTTCAATTCGAAGAGGCCTATGCGAAGTCTTTCTCCAACAAATAAAGTTATGAGGTCTCTCATAGTATAATTAATAATTCGTTTCTCTTTGTACTTTCGATTCAATCAAATTTGGTCAAAATAAGGAAGTTTCAATCTAGGAGGCCTCTGGGAAAGACAAAGTAGAGTGTAGCCTCAACCAGTAGAGAAAGTCTGTCACCAACGTAGTCATTGGAGTAATACCCAAGTGGTGATCTCCATCAAGCGGTCATTTTCTATGAAGGAGAATGTATTACATGTCGTTGTGACGGAATATAACAAGCTCCAGGCAAATGCAGTACAGTAGGATCCAAATAGAATGTTTCCAGGCTGTTAATAGACAGTAGTGGTTTGTTCGATGGTGGCAACGGATCCTAATCCCTGGTCAGTGGATGGAAGGGCATCCAGCCATCATGGGATTCGTGTCCCGCTTCTCGCATCTCACATTGCAGCACTGCCTCCATTCGTCCACAAGCTTGCGAATGGTATCGACCATTACATCGGTAGAGGGACATAAGTCTTGAGCCCTTGCGTGATTTCGTTCCGTTTTGTTGTGGGCTTGTTCGGCTTCGGGAGGGTTCTCAGACATATAAAAGTACGAGTAATCCTTGCCGCTCTCAATAGCCAAGCTTCCAAAGAATCCCGGAAGAGAATACGCCTAAAGTAGGATGCAACAAAGATGAGTCTGTAGCAAAAGCAAACATATCTGCCGCAAAAGTGTAAAAGCTTCGTACCTTTGGAAATAACTCCAACACATGGGAACAAGGAGCATTCATAAACGCGACACCTGTTAGCTGTGCACCATGTGGCGAAATCAGTATGTCTACTGACCGAAAGAAACCAATTTGATCGCGAACGTCTAATCCTTCAAAATATGCTACTTCGACAGTGTTGTTGCGTGAGAGTTCCTTCATGTCCGTCATGTTCGCAATGTGTTCAGCATTCAACATGGTTCGTCTACTATTTGGAGCTCGATTCAGAATTGCTATCCGAGGCTTTGAATGCTTACAGGTGTCAGTACTTGTGTCGTTGAGTTCGAATTCCTTTTTGGCATAGTGATGAAGGTGGTATGCATGGCGAAGGCTGAAGTTGCCAACCAAATTGAATGCCTGCATATCGACATGCGGCTGTTTGATGAGATCGTCAAGTGCCTTCGGATTGAAAATGTCCTTCATGATAATCCCCACGTCCATTTGATACTCAAACATATCCAGCATTCCAGCGATAAACGGTTGGTTGCTAAGCTTCTGTTCCACTTTTCCAGTTGGCATCAGCAAGTATGGGACCTTGGTATGGTAATCCTGCCAGTACGAAAAACAGCGATAGAGCTGCTGCATGGCATGTGGAAAGTGGGCATCGGATCTACCATGAAAGTCACAAGCCACTTCCCTTACCGCCGCTGCCTCGCTCGGGTCAATTCTGGGTTCATCCAGCGGGTTTCTTGTGTGGTGGAGCTTGGCCAAAGGTTGATTGGGACCTGGGATACAGCGCCCTCGACTATCTGACAAGATAGCATCTTGCAAGACGGCATTGATGGTAGCATTTTCAGTTCTGTTGACTTTCGCTCGCACCCAATAATGCCTTCGGAAGTCAAGCGTCTTATTCGTGGAATGACCTCGAAGTGTTGTGGCGGTATTTTTGATGTTGAATGAAAATTCTATGTCTGCCAACAGAGCCATCGCAATCAGAAGGACTGAAATTCGTAGCGACACCAACTTCCATGTCCATGTCAGTTCTTCATCCATTCTAGACTGCCAATGGCGATCCGATTATGCTAGTCGATGGCTGTGAGAGTGACCTTTGTTTGTGTTGTTGTGTTGTCTGTCAAAAACATTCATGGACCAAAAATGTGAAGTGAGCGACATGTTCCAGACAGTCGCTAGGACGTTTTCCTGCACAGTGTTTTTTTTCGAAAATACTGTACCGGCATGTATCCTTGGTACACGTACACGTGTACCGGTACCGGTATGTTCAATGTGGCAATGTTGTCAAAAATGTGGCGATTGAATCTTGTCAAAAATGCGACCTAAGAAATATAGTGTGTTTCATCAGGTGTAATAGTATGGTAGCATGCATCACCACAGAACACTAAAGCTGAAGACCAAATCAGCAATGAAATCCGAATGTTGTTCACCATCATAAAGAAATTTGGGATACTTTTGGATGATTCATGAGGGTTTTCATTGCCTTCAGCCATGATTCGTTGTCAGACTTTGTCTCAGGGGAAGCTCGAATATAATAACCCCAATGATCCGAAGAGAATACTCAGACGATCTGCCTTTGCCTTCCGCCTCATTCTTTCCCCGCTGTTCCATTTCAACCTTGATCAAATAGCTTAGTCATCCCACCTAGTTCGTGTACATATGCGGAAGCTGCAAACTACAGTAAGTCCTCTGCTACTGCCAAGTCGTTCTGAGCATAAGGAATTCAAACGGATATTCCCAAACCATTGACGCTGTCATATCCTCCTTCCACAACACATCCTCCAGTCATCCGCTAGTTTCCGGACTGCCTCCACCATCACATCCAGGGAGGGACAGAGATTCCTGGACCTTGCTCGTTTTCGCTGTCTGCGATCCTTAGCTTGCTCCATATCGGAGGAGTTATTCGAAATATAAAGGTACGAGTAGTCCTTGCCACTTTCAATAGCCAAGGTCCCAAACATTTCTGGAATAGCGTAACCCTACAACATAACAACAAAGAAGATGAGTGATTGCCAAAACTCCAAGCAAACGCGATGAAGTGCAGAATAAACCCACCTTTGGAAACAGTTCCACAATATGAGCACAAGGAGCATTCATAAACGGCAGACCGGTAAGTTGTGCTCCATGTGGTGATATCAAAATGTCCACCGACCGAAAAAAAGAGACTTGTTCAAGAAAGCTCAAGCCTTCAAAATACTTGACAGGCACGGAATTGTCTCGAGACAGCGTCTTCATTTGGTCCGATAATAGTCGATGATTCAAAATAGTTCGGCTGTAATTGGAGGCTCGGTTCAAAATGGCAATCCGCGGTTTTGCATTTTCACAAGTCCCGAAACTGTTGTCCTTCAGTTTCCACTCCTTATCGGCCATGTAGTTCAGATACTTCGTATGCCGAATACTGTAGCCACCAATTCGATTGAAAGATTCCATCTTGATTTCAGAGAAATGACTAGCGTCGCTGAGCTCTGCTTCTTGGAACCACGACTTCATGATCATCTCTAGCCCCATTTGCGACCCAAAGATTTGCATAATTCCTTTGGTGAACGAATGGCTCAGTAGTTTGGTTTCTACCTTTGCATCCGGTAAGAGCAGTATAGCTTGTTTGTTTGGATAATCCCTCCAAAAGGAAAAGCAGCGATATAGTTGTTGCATGACGTGGAGAAAATGAGCATCGTTCTTTCCATAATAATCACAAAGCACATGTCTGACATATTTGTCGTCATCAGGATCATTTCTCGGTAGGTCCAACTCGTTTCGAGAATGAGAAAATTTCGCCAAAGGTTGATTGGGATTAGGAAAACAATATTCAGCATTGGCTTCATACTTCCTAGGATTCGTTTGATCAGCAACTGATTGTGCGTTGGAAAGTGACGATTCCATATTCATTTATCGAACAGAAAAGATGTTTCGAGGCATTGTCAGCACTATAAGTAATGCAGCAGACCATATGAATCTCTCGAACCGTGTTTTCGTCGTCCAATCCTTCCACATTGAGACCCATTGTCTCGTGAAGGATTGGCATTGGAAAGGTGACATATCATTGGGGTAAATTTTGTGTTGATGAACGAGTTATTTTTTGTTAGTTTTGAAAAGCAGGCTTCCAAGTCGGATGAGTCAACACTCTCAACAATGACAGAATAATGCCGCACATACCTTCTCTATCGATATCCTCTTGACGAATAAGCTTCATATTCTTCTGTTGCCACTCTTGTTTACCTTGCGTAATACCGACGAATGATAGAAGCATGATGAAACTCATCATGTTGTGCATTTTGCTAGCATGCTTCGTCTTGATGGCTTCAGCGTTATCTGAGAATGATCAACAGAATGCGGGCGCTGATGGTCCTTCGGTGCTAGTGATCGGCTTAGGTCCCGCTGGCTTATCCTTTTTACATGCTCTGGCATCAAAGAGAAATCAGCTACAAGAAGCTGGTGATTTGGAGGGTCTCAAAGCGCTTCCGAGAGTCACTGCTGTTGAGCGCGCTTCAGGTCCTGGTGGGATTTGGCGAGAACACACAAAGAAAGGCGACAATGAATATCGCAATATGTATGGGGATTTGTGGACCAATCATCCCAAGGAAACTTTTGAGTACCCCGATTATACTTTCGCGGATCATTTCGGAAACAAGGAGCTACCAGCCTTTCTGAGACGAGAACATGTCCGAGACTACATCCTGGCACGAGTTACAAGTGTAGAAAATGTATTTGAAACCAACAGCGTCTATTTTCAGACTGAGGCCAAGAATGTCCAGTACATTAAACGAAAAGGTCAGTTTGTGGCAACTCTGGACCAATGGCAAGAGGATGAATCAATAGGGAATAACGGTTCGAAAACATGGACCACATCATCAACGCTTTACTTTGACAAGATCATATGGTGTGGAGGCTGGAACGGAATCCCCAGCTATCCCCTCGAAATCTTAGCCACTTTGGATCAAGGTCGCTACAAGGGAATTCGAATGCATTCCCTTGAAGTGGATAGCCTTTTGAAGGATTCCATAGAGAATAAAACAATTGTGCTGATAGGGGATAATGACTCTGCCAACGACATCGCCTATCAGATGCTCAAGCGTGGTGCAAACAAGGTTATAATTGCGAGTAGAAATGATAAGGGATCCGCTTCGTTGCTCCCTAGCTGGCCAGAAAACAGGGTGGAGATTCTTCGTCATTATCAGCTGGCGGGCGTGACAGAAGATGGCACCGGACTTTTGTTTGGAACGAGCGATGTAAACCAGGGAAGGAGTATTGCGGATGTATCAGTAGTTATCTTATGCACCGGATACGACCCAAATGTGAATTCACTATCTCCGGAATTATCATTTGCGCTTCAACACCTGTGGCACCTACCGGGATCACTCCCCATCCCAGCTAGCTACAAGAAGCATGGTTTGGAAAACGACTTTTGGGGTGTCCCGGATGGATGGGAAATGCCTCACAACGTCCTGACGGATGAACTCACAAAGCTCAACAATGGAGATGAACATATTGAACCCGATCTTGGGAAAGCCATGGGATCGTATATTTCCAACAAGTATATCTATCGAAATGTTTTCATTCACAACACCAACATGTTCTTCAACCACGAAACCACGTATCAGCAGCTATTCGGTAAGTGATCGCAGAACTCCAATGTCCAAGCTTCTATTTGCGAAAATCTCACTGTATGGTTTTTCTTATTAGATATTGATGTGAGTGCTTGGCTCATCCTAGGGTACATGACTGGAGAAGTATCGATTCCTGATCTAAATACCATGGAGCAACGCAATTTGGAAGAGGTCATCCTCCAAATGGAGAATCCCAACAACCGCTATCATCTTGATCGCGAGTACGCTTCTCTGTTGGACGTACTCAGGAATGACAAGGATCACTGGTATTCACACGGTCGGGATAGGCGTAAGCGCGAGTTGTACAGGGCCGAGTTCGAAGTCCAAGTCAGATTGATAGCTCGAGATATGCAAGATGCCAAGTACCCAGCATCGTATGGCAACTTTACACATCTGAATCGAAATGGGATCGATTTGGTGGAGATGTCAGTGGACTTTTATCATAACAAATACTGGATTGGATACACGGATGATAGGAATATGCATAACCCGGCGAGAGGTTGGACCTACCGCGACATGGACTGCTCGACGTACAAGTCATTGTGGAGTGGATTTGTATCGAAACCGTTTAATGGCCATTGGCTGGATGTGGATGACCACGGCTGTCTTGTTGAAGATGCATCTGACTGCGGGATACCGCGAATTCGCAAATATACCAACGATTCGATCCAAATGCGATTACTGCCGACGGGATCCGAGGTGTCGGATGAAACTGACGATGCTGGTTTCCATAGTTATTTTCAAGATGGCGAAGTTTTAGAGCTCGCGCTCACGCTGGTGGTTGTGATCGCATTCATTACCACGAGCACCAAAATCGTGTTTGCTGAAGAATCAGAAATCAATAAGAGCAGTAACGGTGCTGACAAATTGCCGAGCACGACCAGATACCGTAGGTTCCGATCCATTGACGTGCTGCGTGGGATGTGCGTTTTCAATATGATCTTCATTCACTTTGGAGAGTATCTGTCCGCCCAATGGTTTCGAAATTGCTCTCTTTTCGGTACGCCTGCTTTTCTGCTTATTGCCGGCTTGAGTTTTCATGTTCTATCCGAATCAGCGAAAAGGAAAGGCGAAGGCGTTAGTGGACGAGCATTCCAAAGGGCAATGTTTCTCTACCTTCTCCAAGGAGCTCAATCAATTGTATTGAGCGGAAAAGTCGATGACGTCTACTCGTGTGAAACTCTGATGATTGCGGGGCATGCTCAACTGATTCTTGGTATGGTCCACAATTTCGAAGCACCAGTTCTAGCCCTCTTTAGTGCAATCATCATTGGTATGACGGGAGCTGTTCGGGTCGCCTTTATGGATACGGACGAGTATTGGAGAATCACTGATTTCGGGGGCAGCGTAACCTTTGATCCAATGACCGACTTCAGTGAATGGGAGGATATCTTTCACTTTCATGTTACCGATGGGTTTTTTCCATTGTTCCCGTACGCTGCATACCCCATCCTCGGCCTTGCCATTGGAAAATTGATTTATGGAAAGGATGAAGTCGAGTCTAGATCAAGACACGTGAAAGTACTTGCCATTGCGGGGAGTATCCTACTTACATTGAGCGTCGCCCTGTTGATGGTTGGCAAGCTTGCACCCTCTTTGATCGATAAATCGCGGCTATTTGGTGTATATATTGGGACATGGAGGTCGTGGCCGTATGAAAGCTTGGAACACGTACTAGTATCTGTTGGACGTTCTCTTCTCTACGTTGCCGTGGCTACCAAAATGTTTGATGGCGATGACGCCGAAAGTATCGAGCCCTCTTTACGAATATCCATTCGCAATTTCTTTTCCGTGTTTGGCAGATTCTCCTTGACATTGTTTTCATTACATCATGTTGCCATTTATGGCATTCTTGGGATCGGTGGCTACATGGCCGGTGAATCATACCTAGCCATGTTTGAGAACATGTTTGAACTGAAGACTTCTCTGTTGTTGGGTGCTGTGTTCCTTGTTGTGATGCACGAGTTGTGCGTATGGCTTGAGAGAGAGTCGATCCCCACCTTGGAATATTTGCAGAGACTCTTTTGTAGGTTACAATTAACCAGCACTCGCATCGCTTCTGTTCAAGAATCGAAAAAAGAGGACACAGGCAAGTCTCAGAGGTCTCTTCGGTTCCGATCCATAGACGTTCTGCGTGGGATGTGCGTTTTCAATATGATCTTTGTCCACTTTGGAGAGTATCTATCAGCCCAATGGTTCCGAAATTGCTCTCTTTTTGGCACACCTACTTTTCTCCTTGTTGCCGGCTTGAGTTTTCATGTCCTATCCGAATCGGCGAAGAGAAAAGGCGAGGGCGTTGGTGTGCGAACCTGCAAAAGGGCAATCTTTCTCTATCTCCTGCAAGCAGCCCAGTCACTGATTTTGAACGGAAACATTGATGATATCTTTGTGTGTGAAACTCTAATGATTGCTGGCCATGCTCAGTTGCTTCTTGGATTGGTCCACCAGTTCCAGGCACCAGTTCTGGCCGTTCTGGGTGCCACCATCCTTGCTACGACGGGATTCGTTCGAGACGAATTTATGGACATTGAAGAATATTGGAGAATCAATACTTCCGAGGGCAACGTCATGGGGTTTGAAGTGTTGACGGAAGACACTGAATTGGAAGATATCTTGCACTTTCATTTTGTGGATGGTCTATTTCCATTGTTTCCCTATGCGGCATATCCCATCCTCGGTCTTGCCATTGGAAAGGCAATATATGGAAAGGATGAAGCCGAGTCGAGATCAAAGAATCTAAAAGTACTTGCCATTGCTGGGGGTATCATCCTTGCATCTGGTGTCGGGCTCTTGATGGTTGGAAAACTCATACCGGAATGGATTGACGAATCGTGGCTGTATGGTGTGTACATTGGAGCCTGGAGGTCGTGGCCGTATGAAAGCTTGGAGCACATACTCGTGTCACTTGGGCGGTCTCTTCTCTACGTTGTCGCAGCAACCAAGATATTTGATGGTGATCATGACGCTGAAAGTGATGTACAGCCATCTATACGAGGATCCATTCGTGATTTCTTCTCGATGTATGGAAGATTCTCGTTGACATTATTTCCTCTACATCATGTTTTTATCTATGGCATTCTTGCGATTGGCGGATTCTCGACTGGTGAATCCTACCAAGCCATGTTTGAGAACATGTTTGAACTAAAGACGTCTCTTTTGTTGGGTGCGATATTCCTGTGTGTGGTGTACGAATTGTGTTTGTGGCTGGAGAGAGAATCAATTCCCACGTTGGAGCATTTGCAAAGGCACCTCTGCAACTCGCGGCTCACTTTGGCTCCAGCCGTGAGACCTTCCAAGAAGCGTGACTGATGTGTGGGGGTGGGTCGACCAACCAAGATCATTTGCCGAGTGGTAGCATCTCTTTGATCAAGATAATTGATTCATTCCAACATGAGCTGTGTTGTAGCTGATGACTCGTTGCGGATCAAGGTGTGGCAGAGATAATAAAAAAGGGACATACATGGTGAGACTGGTGTGATTCAAAAGTATCAACAACTCATGATTGTTGTTACGCTTCTTGGTACACCTACCAAAGTCTAAATTTTCAAAAGTTTTGTTCATTTTATGTTCCTAGCTTCGTTAGAATCATTGATGTTCAGCAATGACTACACACAATTGTACCGTGGAAGATTACAGATTACAGTTCGTACCAGGTATTGATACCTGGTACTCGTATACGACGAAATGAGAGGAAAACATCTTTCATGCCAATTTATTAGGTCGAAGAGGTCGCAGTCGACTTGGTCGGTCATTTAATTTGTTTCTCGTACATCATCCTACAACATCTCTCGTACAGTACTGTTGAAATTTTGAAATTCATCCCCTGTTGTTGTTGCTTTGGTTCTTGTTCCTACCGGTACAGAGTATATTGACTGCAGTACACTTAACAGAAACATACCTGCACCCGAAAGGAATAAATCCAAAGAGCCTCTTGAAACACGATATTACACAACAAAATACAATCCATCCATCATGACATCCACAATCCGTCCCATTAGTAAACGATTTCCTCAGTCCAAAAGCTTGTGGGACGAGACGAATCTTCCCATGTGTGCCGTTTTGACGCCGCTGGGAGGAATGGAGAAATTATCTACTTCTGGGAAACAAGAACAGCAACCAGACCAAGCACAAACACAAGCACCACTCAAATTGGCCAACTTGATACGCTGTTTGAAATGCGGAGCCCCTCATCCGACCATTGACACGTATGATTTGTTGGAAGAGGACGAACTGATCTTTTGTCACTTGTGTGGTGCTCCTTCTTCCTACAACTTTGAAGAACAAGCCAAGATAAGAACCCACGATGGTTTGAAGGAAATGGCAGAGAATGGAGAAGAAGAAGATTGGCCCTTTATTGCGGACGAACGCAAACCCAAAGGCGATATCCTTGTGGATTTGCCACTCTTCAACGAACAAGATTACTTTTCGGAATCTGCCAAGGCGTGTCCTCCCGTTTGGTGGATTGTCTTGGATGGGACCATGCCTCAATCATCGCCCTATTGGAAAACCGTCACGGACAGTCTGCATGCCATTCTGTTGGCCGACGATGGCGAGGATGGTGGCGGTGGTCCACCACCACCCGAATACGCACACATTGGATTGTTACTAGCAAGTCAAGATACTCTATCCACTTGGGATTTGTCCAGTCCAGTGCCACGCGTGTCTCATTATCCCTTGGAAGCAGCAGCAGCAGCCACGGAAAAGAAGTCGACCGACGAACACCTGAAGATTCCAGTCGACCTGAATTTGACTCCCATCGATCCACTCTACGAACCGAGTGTCCAAGCCACACTTCGAGCCGTCTCGGACAATCCCAGCTTGAAAGATAATGTTGGAAATACGAATTCGGCCGAAACTGGAATGGCCTTGGGAGCCACCATTGAAACCATTTTGGAATTTATGGAACAGGCCAAACATCCTGGAGATACCTTGGAAGGTGGCAAAGATGAAATGGATTCGACTCTGCTCTATGCGGGAGGAAAGATCACCTGTCTCTTGGGACGACCCCCATTGGAAATTGAACCATTGGACCGAGAACCACAGTCGCACTTTGGAATGGGAGGCATGGGAGGTGGGATTCACGATGCCATGCACTCGGACAAGTTTGCCCAAATGCCCGATGTACACGATTCCAGTGATTTGACACCTACCAATCTGGCTAGCTACTGCAAACCATTGCGACCAACCGAGGATATTTTTGACATTATTGGCACACGATGTGCCCATGCTGCCTTGGGGGTGGATATTGTGGTGGTGGAAGACAACGAACCAACAGAATCAAATCGTCACTTCATTCGACCATTCTATGGTTTGCCTCTTTTGCGAGTCTTGTCGGATACAAGTGGAGCTCCAGGACCCCTGATGATTGACAATTCGGTGGATCTGACCCACCAAGTTCGAGTCCGAACGCCATGGCAACCGGGAATGGCATTTGCGACGGAAATGAGAGTCCGAACCAGTCCAGGATGGGGGGTCGAAACTTCTCCCATTGAATCAATACCCAAGGCCACCCACCAAATGGCAATTTTCTTGTCTTCGTCAGGGGTTTCTGGACCAGCCATTGCCACCAATGACAATTTCTTTCTCTTGGGAACCTGTGACAAACATACCAGCGTCACTTTGGATCTACAAAACACGGATCCCCGTCGCCATGTCAAGTTGGAACAAAAACTCTATGGCCTTCGGGGGCGAGTGGGTCTGAAAGTCATGCTCAAACCAGTGATGCAGACTTGCATTGCGTATACCTGCATCGAAGGATCATCAGGCCGGGTGGTTCGACGAATGAAAATAAGTTATTGCCCCATGCCCATGGCCACGGATGTGGAATCCATCTACAACTCGATCGATCCAGAAGCCTTGGCAGCGGCTCTCTTTCACAAACTAGCCTTGAATGTGTACGAAGAAGGTACTGTGAGTACTCAACAAGTTGGAATTGACTGGCTGAAGACACTCTTGGTGTGCGTCTATCAGTCAGCCTTGAATGTTTTGGAAAATGAAGGCAAGAAGAAACTAGGCATGCCCAATTACCAAGAGACTCAGGAAGAGTACAGACGGAACCCTTTCGATGCCAGTCTTCGAGTTTTGACGAGTAGTGGTGATCAAATCATGACACTCAGTCCGAGAAACAAGGGTGACAAGAAGAGTCTGGAGGTGGATGATGTACTGTTGGGACAAGGACACCGCCGTGTCGCATCACTTGCACTGGTAGTTTTTTCCTTGCTCCAATCTGATGCACTTCGGCCGTCTCCCGGTGTTTCTGCGGACGCTCGATGCGCGGCCATTGCCAATATGGCCTCGATGACACCAAGGGATTTGGTCAAGTGCATTGCTCCGTCTTTGTCTCTTTGGTCTTCCAAGGATGATGCTCCAGTTGCGCGAAGTATTGATCTAAGCCTAATGGAGGCCATCAAGACCTTTAAACGTGGTGCGGCAGGCAAGAAGGGTGACTTGATCTTTGTATTGGATTCCCCGCAGCAATTGTTGGTCTACAAGGGAAGTTTAAAGGCACACGAGGAAACCAAAAAGTTCAAATTGGGGCTCAAGCCATATGTCCCCAAGTCTCCAAAATTGATGGGGATGATCCAAGCCATGACCTCGAGTTATCGTGTCAAGCCATTCACTACTCTAGATTCTGATAGTAAGAGCGAGACTGCTTCCTTTCGCCGATTTATCCAAAACATGATTGAAGACATGCCAACCGCAGACCCAATGGAAGGAGAAGGCAGTGGCAATTTCAAGCATTGGAAGTCGGACATGGCACAGTTGGTCCAAGCGTAAGTCTCTTGTGTATTTGTGTGTGATGTCCCATGAAGTGATGAGCGCTTCTTTGGTTCCTAACATGATTATCCTTATTCCTTGTTCGATACAGAGAACTGGAAGAATTGGGTTTGCTTGGTAGTTGAAACATCCGCCTAAATTAAATAGAGAGGGTTTACTAGATATTAATACTTCCAATAAGATTATTAGATAGTGGCTGGCTGGAGCTTTTGTTTTCCATCCGAGTGTGTGGTAGATAGCAGTGACATTGAACATTATATGTACATGATGGTTCATTCATTCGTTCATTCATTCGCTCACTTGTATTGCTACGAGTAGAAACAAAACTCAACTTTTCTCTCTCTCTATTTTTACTTCCGAGCAGTTTCAAAGTTCTCTACAAACCAATCGACAGTCTCTTGGATGGCTGTTTCAAAGGGTGTAAACTTGTATTCTGGACGCAGTGCACGAAATCTACTGTTGGAGGCAGTTTTCTTGTATTGTCCATCATTCTTACTGGTATCAAACTTGACTTCCCCCTCGAATCCCATCGCCTTGGCCACACAAAGAGCAGCATCCTTGATACTAACTTCATCTTGTTCATCCCCACTTAATGTCAGACAGGTTGGGTCATGATATTCCCTCATGGCCCACACGGTCAGTTCGGCTAGATCGTTATTGTAAATAAATTGCCTCAAGGGAGTACCAGACCCCCAAATGGTAAAGGGTGTCTTGTCCCGTTTGGCAATGTAACATTTGTGAATCAATCCAGGGATCACGTGTCCCCCTTCAATGGAAAAGTTGTCGTGGTGACCAAAAATATTGGTGGGAATGACCGAGGTAAAGTTGCCTGCAACAGTAACAACAGTAACAACAACAAAAATGAGAAACATGTGTTTGTGTGTGTGTGTGAGTCAGTTATCCAGTCTGAGTGCTCTTGTACTTACATCCATATTCTTCGGCATACGCCCGATTCATAACATCCAGAAGTCGTTTGGCATAGGCATATGTTTCGTTGGTGTGATGCGGAGGACCAATGTGCAACATGGTTTCATCAATGGGATAGGTCACCTTGGCCGGATAGATACAGGTGCTTAAATAGCTCACAAGCTTTTCCACCTTGTAGATCCGGCAACATTCCATGACATTGTCATTGATCAAAACATTCTCCCGAAAGAATTCCACCTTTTGGGACATGGCCGCAAAGAGTCCACCAATTTTGGCCGCCAAGTGAATGACATGGGTGGGAGAATATTTTTCAAAAATCGCAACTGTATCACTGCGTTTGCGAAGATCCCCATCTTTGGTGGAGAGAAATACCCATTCCTCGTCATTCTTGGCGCCCGTCTTTTGAATGTAATCTTGAATGGCCGATCCGGCCAGGCCACTGCCTCCCGTCACCAAGACAAGTTTGCGAGGAAAGGTTTCCGCCACGAGACCCTCCATGGTCTTTGGTTCGTGAACGATACCGGTAAGCTTCTCCAGTTTGGTGCTGTCCAAACTGAGATCCAAGGGAAAGGGAGGAGATCGTTCTGCCTTTTCGAGGACGCTCTTGTCAAACTGGAATCGGTCAAAGACCACTTGGGCCATTTCGAAGCGACTGGAACGCACGGGGCCACCCAAATGAAAGACTTGAATGCCTCCTGTTGTTGCCGTGGAGACATTTCGGACCATCCAGTCCAAGACCCGACACACATGCTTGACTCCCACCAGGGTCCGGAATTCATTGGTAAAGAAGGAAGTATTTTGGTTTTCCCGCGAAGCCACAAAGTGAAGAAAGGTAGAGTGGGCATCGACAAAGGGAGGAGTCGGACCCACAATAATGGTCGAACGCAAGAGCAAAGTAGGAACTTTACTTGATCCTAGATTGTCTTGCAAATACGATTCCATTTCCACCTTGCTCTTGCCATAGACCGTCATGGCACGAATGGTTTCTCCATCCGCCTTGTAGAAGCCATCTTTCAAACAATCCTTGGTGCCATCGTATACTTGATCTGTGGACAATGCCACCAGAGGTACCTTGTCTTTGAGCTTTTCGAACAGAAAGGTGGGAACGTTCAAGGCTTTGGCACCCGTCGGATTTTCGAGGCATTCCTTTTGTTGCGACATGGCTGCCGTGTGGAGGCAGACATCAAAGGAATTGTTCAGAAACAGTTTGTCCACATCTGCTTGCGAGGTAATGTCACATTTGTAAGGGGTAATGTGGATGTTCTTGTGGCAAGGATTCTCCGAAATGGCTTTTGGAAAGGCGGTGCTTCGTTGGTACAGGGCAAAAATGACATATTCCACTTCTTCTTCTTCTTTGTTATTATTGCCGTTCGTTTCTTTGCTGCTGCTAATGACCGGGCCATTTTTCATCCACGTTGAAAGCAGGTGCTGGCCAAGGAATCCAGAGCCTCCCGTAAGCAAGACGCGAATTGTTTTGACCATCTTTTTTCCTTTTATGCAGTACGGTACTGTATGCTTTTTGTTTTTTTGATCCACTGTTGATGTGCACTTTGAACTTTGCAAAGGAAATTTGAAGTTTGAAAAAAAAATGCTGCGAGCGAGTCGGTCCTTCAACAGTCGCACTAGCTCTAGTGACGGACGAGATTTAGATTGATTGATTGATTGCGATGTTGCTTTCAATTCAGCCAGTATCGCTACTATAGTCTATGGTGTATGTGTGTGAAAGAGAGAGAGAGAGAGAGAGAGTTGGCTAGTATACTTCAATATGCCTGTGCATCAGACTTTTTACGAGTAACACTAGCTTGAATCTTACGCTTGCTTTAATAGCTCCCTTTCGGGTAGCATAACTGGTATGGTAATGATGAAATGCTTGTCATGTCGTCTCCACAAAATACAGTAGCTTCCCAGCATTCGGGATAGTTGGCATGATATATAAGATATGGTATTGTTTCCATAGCTTCCCAAAGATCCATATTAGACGCGATTGCATTATCCGCTGCCATCTTCTCCCGACTGATATATAAGTTGATGGGTATTGTGGATAGAATCTGACAGTGCATGGTCTTTCTCATCAGATTCATTCATGCATCAGTTTTGCATTGCTTTCATCAATGGTATATAACTGTCCTCCTACTGTGGAGTCCTCGGTTGCGCCATACCAAAACAATATGATCAGAGCCAAGTCTGTCTCAACCATCAGCATGGCCATCCTCATGATTGAACAACAGGGCATGGTTTTCGGCAGTTGCACCATACAGAAATAAACTCAAGCCGCCGGTTTTCCAAGATATTCCTGTATAATAGATGGAAACCGAATTCTATCATTGTGTTGGCCCTCTTGTCCATCTCCGAGATTCTGAATTCGCATTTGTTCGGCCAAGGGAATGGTAACCTTCAAGTTGGACAGATCCTGAATGGGTTCGGCCCCTGCCGTTTCGGCCCGAAATCGTTGTTGAATCGTCGTCAAAAACCCGCTGACGGACGAATCTTCATCCGTACTGTCACAATTTTCCGCAATCAATGGCAACAAGATTACGGCAGCTCCCGGCACTTGATGGGCCCATTCCAAGACGGATTGGACAAATCGAACTCCCGCTTCCGCATTGCCCATCGGACTCAGGTCTCGATAGGCCTTGACGTTCCGCTTTAGAGATTTCATGCGGGACCCAAAGTCCACGACGACGGCGTATTTCAATAGCGCTACAGTGTTATGGTCTGCATCGTCGCCATTGCCGAGCGCCGCAATGGCATCTTGAATGCAAGCTTCCGTGAGTAGAAAACACGCCGGTTGCTCGTCTGGTCCACATTTGAAGAGTTTCAGTGACGCAAGGGCACTAAAGGCAACAAAGGCAATCCCAGGTAGTACCATTGCGGTGTTACTACCTACTTGTATTGTTGTGTTTCTTTTGTGGTTGCCTTGATCGTTTGTTGTTCTTTTGTGATGTTGAATGTGGAGAACGATAGTGACACTGAAATATTGAATATTTATTTTCAATTTTGTCATGCGTTGTGCGGGAGTTGTTTTCAAAGTATCGCGAGCTCGTCCGCGCGCAGGTCTCGCCCAAGCATTGGTTGTTTGGAGAAAGAAGAGAATGGAGAAGATTGGGAGAAGCAACTCCGGCGGACGAAGGACGGATGCTTCAAGTACGCATGGTACAGTACCGGTAGGTTTGTAATACAGTACGATATTGCTTTGGTGACGTACGAGAAACTTGTCGTGGGTCCATCGTCCATCGCCCATGGCCGTTTTTCAAAAAAGTCCACAATCAAGTCAAGAATAATAGAATCATGATGAAGCAAACTCTTATCCTCGCCGCCCTTGTCGCATCCGCTTCTGCTTTCGCTCCTGCAAGGTGTGTTATTTTTCTATTTTTGTCAACGACGGGATTGTGATACGGCGATTTATATGTTGGTTGAATGAATCTTGAACAATTTCCTGCACGCTGGGATTGGAAGGACTGGAAACGTACTGGATAAGGTCATACTCCTCGGACTGCTACGGAAATGATAAACACAACGATTTCTGGATAGCGCTTTTCCTCCCGTTCTTCCGAGTCCAAGATCCATATTCAATTGCTGCGTGGCCAATTAATTTCCTGTGGCAAAAGTTCATTTCATGATTCCTTGTTTCTCACACAATCAATCCCTCTTTATCATTTTCTCGTTCTCTCCTCACAGCGTCATGCCCAAGACTACTGCCCTGAGCGCTGAACCGGAATGGAAGGAGACCGACTTTGAGGCCGAAATCAAGAAGCTTGAAAAGGAAGCCGAAGAACGTTTGGATGCCAAGGTTGAAGAATTGAAAAGCAACATTGCCAACACTGGAGCCGAAAACTAAACTTCCTGTCTTTTGAATAATGGGTCATTGTTATTCTTATTCTTTGCTAGTGTTTTAATTATTTAGTAGTTTGCCAATGCAACAAATATGGTACATATGATAACAGCGACTACTACCATGGCGATGCGTTACTGGGGAATAGTCCAACATGTTCATACTATTTTACATATCATCATCATGCCATATATTGTGAATATTCTCAAAGTCTTCTCTCATCCATTTGCTAGTGCTATTGGTACTAGATTTTATGATAGTAGTAGCCTATTTTAATGTTTTTTTTTGGAATTAATCACCATATTTCAAAGTGGCGTAGAACCTCTTGACCGATTCCGTAATCCGCCGCAAACTATCGGCATTGTCCATGCGTTCCTTTTCCAACTTTTCGATCGCATCGGCACGATTTGTTTCCGACTTTACCAACGCTTGGGCCAAAGAAATCACTTGGGATCGCATGGTGTCCACACTCTCCGCGTCCACGGCAGTGAGACTCAAGGCATTGGCCGTGGGTTGCTGGGATGCCTGGCTCCGCAAATAACGGTTCTCGGAAAAGAGTTTTTGCAACTCCTCCTTCTTGGCCTTGATTCTTTCCTGCGACAGTGAAAGTTCATTGCCCAATGCATGGACCTGCTGTTCCAAGGTGGAAATCTGGCCATCCTTCTGTCTCACCACTAGCTGTAGATCGTTGACTTGGGCAGAAAGCGTTGCCGCTCGCTCATTTGTTTGGGAAGATGAAGCGGCTTGGACTGATCGAAGTGACTCGACTTGTTGCCGCAATGACTCAATCTCGGCTGCAGTTGATTCACCACTTGGCTCTTGTGTCGCTTGTTCGTATTGGCCTTGACGATCGTAAGAATCTTCCACTTCTTGTTCCAAAAGTTCCACAGTTCGCTGCAAATTGGCAACTTCTTTTTGGGTTTCAGACAATTCTTGCGTTCTTGCAGTGAGATCTCCTTGCAAGCTTTTTCGCAACTGCTTTGATAATGTATCGGCAGTTTGTAGGGACCGAATTTCGTTCTCCAAATTCTGCATGGTATTGTTCGCAGAGTGTAGCTCCTGTCGGACGCTGTCAATCTCTTGCTGGCGCTGGTTGGAAGTCAATTCCAACTCGTTCATTCGGGATTGATCTGCCTGAATCTTGCTTCTCATCTCACGGACACTGTCACGAAGTTGTTCAACTTCTTCGCGTTCTTGCTGAGATGTTCGAGCCGTATCCAGCATGCTTTCAAGATTCTTGAGTTCGGCATCCTTTTGACCAATAAGTCCTTTTTGTTTGGTAATGATCCCCTCAAGTTGTTGGACCCTCTTTGCCAACGTCGATGAAGTATGGTCGGAATCAAATCGAGACTGTTCCCATTGTGTTCGTAGCTCATCCAAGCTTCGTTCTTGAACGTAGCACTTGTCAGCCAAATCTTGTTCTTTTTCCTCCATGGCATCAATGAGCGAGGCCAGTTGCTTCTCTTTACGACTTGCAGCCTTTGCCTGCTCCTCAAGCTTGGCTTCCAAGTTCTGCACTTGTTCCATGGCTCTTGCCTTGTCAGACTCCGAATCACTTAGATCTGTTTCAGCAGCTTGCTTCATGGCCAATAGTTCTTCAACCTCATTCTCGAGCTCCTCTTTTTCAGCTCGATGTCTTTCCTCCACGTCCGTCAGTTGATACTTGGGGACCAAATCATTAGCATTCGATTTGAAGTTTTCCAATTGTGCTTCCAAGTTTTGAATGAGTTCTTTCGATCTTGACTCTGCTGCTTGCAGTTGTTCTAGCTCAGAATCAGCAGATCGCTTCATTGCTATTGCATCTTCCAGCTCGTTCTCGAGCTGTTCTCTTTCGGAGCGGTATCTTTCTTCCAAATCAAGCAAGAAATCGTTGCTATTTGATACCTCCGATACCTCCAATTGTGCTTCTGCCTGTTGTAGCTTTCGGGTGGCTTCTTTGACGGCAGTGTCTCGTTCTTCAAGTTGAATTTTCATTTGATCAAGCTCGTCTTCGTAGGAATCCATATCCTGCTTGATGAGACCAAACTGTACAAGCATATCCTCGTTTTCTTCGACAAGCTGATTCCGTTCCTCCAAGATGTCATCCCTCTCTGCTGCAAGTGCATCAAAGTCTTGACGCAGTTGTTCCACGTAGGCCTCCTCGTCTTTGGTTGGGACGACATGAACCCCGTCCTTGTTTTCCTCCAACGATTGAACTTGGGATTCAAGTTCGGTGATTCTGGTTTCAAGTTCTTTGTTGGTTTTTCGAAGATCCTGGAATCCAGCTCGACTCGAAGACTGCTGTTCTCGAAGGATGACAATTGTCTGATCTCTGTTTTCCAAAACACTCTCCAAATCAATCATTTGTCTTTCCAAGTCTTGAATGACCTCTTCGTTTTCAGTATTCGCGGATCGGAATTTAGACAGTTCTTGTTGTAACTCGTTTCGCGCCGCAATCACCTCGTCCAGCATTTCCTGGCTAATGTTCCCTTCACCTCCAGTGGGATCGTTGTTTTCCAAACTTGCTTCAAGATCGCGGCATCGCGCAGCCAATTCATCACGGGCCTGAACAATCTGCGCCTTTTCTTCGCTTGAAGAACGCAGCTTGGTGCGAGTTTCCATGAGATGCTTTTCAATCACGTCCTTTTTGTGTGCTGCAGAGTCGCGCTCTTTCTTGAGTTGTTTGATTTCATTCTCTCGATCTGAGTAATTCTTCGACAATTCGGCTAGAGCGCTTTCCAGTTCATCCTTTTCATTGCTTATCTTGATAGTCTTGGCCTTTAGTATCTCTATCTCGCTTTGCAAGGAATTCAAAGAGGACAGTTCTTGTTCCGTAGCAGCATTGGATCGACTCTTTTCGGTTTCAAGCTGCTTTTCGAGACCTTTGCAACGGTGATCTAACTCGGATTTGGCTGCGACAACTTGGTCCAAGTCATTTGTCAATTTATCGACGCGACCTTTATACGAGGCAAGTTGAGAAGTTGACGTTGAGCTCTCCTGCCGCAACGCTTGCAATTCCTCTTGTAGCGCCGATTCCACAGCATCCATGTCATTCTTTGCTTGCCACTCCAAGTCTAGCAGCGCCTGCTTGCTCTGTACGAGCTCCTGCCTCAAACCATCACGTTCTTGTACAATCGCTTCTAGCTCAGGAGATGTGGCTTCAGCTTCAGTTGCTTTGCTTTTGTATTCTTCCAGTTGCGACGACAAACTTTTCATTTCTTCTCTCAACCCTTCTAGTGTCGATTCTGATTGTCGAAGAGACTGCTCCAGGCCATGGGTTTTTTGCTCCTGGATGCTCATGTCAAACTTGTGTGTTGACAACGCGGAAGAGTACTCTGTTTTCAATTGAACATGTTGGGCCCGCAGCTGTTCGAACCTCTCTTGAGCTTCGGATTCATTCTTTGCCATGTCCTTTGACATTGCTTCAGACATTTTCTGAGATTCCTTCAACTCAGACTCAATTGAGTTGATATGTTCCTGATATCGCTTCGTATCTTCGTCCTTGTCTCTCTGCAGTCTTGCCATTTCCTTGCTCAGTTTGAAAGTTTCTGATTCAGATTTTGCAAGGCGCTGTTTCAGTTGAGATTGCTCTGTTGTCAGCTTTGCCAGCTCTTGGTCTTTGCTTGCGAGCTTGCTATGAACGGATCCAAGTTCCTCATCAAGTTTTGAATGCGACGATAACTCAACGGTTTGCTTCTGAAGCAAACTTTCAAGATTTCGAATTTCAGCAGTCAAAGCTGATTCTTTCGCTGTCGCATTTTCGTTCTCGATCTTGAGATCAGAGAGCGATTTTCGAAGTGCTTCAAGATCTCCCAACAAACTGCTATTTTTTCCAGAACATTCAGCCTCGAGACGAGAAGCTTTCTCTGACATCAATTTGCTAGATTCTTGCCATCGCTTAATCTCTGCGTTCAAGGTATTTTCGCGTTTCTCCAACTGGCGTGATGCGTACAGCTTTGATTGTTCTCCTTCGATCTTCAAAGTTTGCAATTGTTCTTGCAAACTTGAGTTTGTGGTTCGTAGGTCTGAAACGTCCTTCCACAAAGAAGAGAGTTTGGTTGCATTATCGTCATCCTTGCCCATTAAAGATTCTTTTTCAGATCGTAAAGTTTCCGTCTCATTTCGAACATTTTCCAAGTTGGCAGATAGATTGTTCAGCGTATCAGCTTGGGCTTCCCCAACAGTCGCAAGAGACTCTTTCGCCGACTTCAAAAGTTCGTTTGACTTTCGCAATGCTTCAACCTCCTTCTCAATGAGGAGTCGCTTTGTTATTTCATCCCTCAAGAGTTCTTCAAAATTTACTTTGACCCAATCACCATCAGCAGTTTGTAACCTTCCCTCAAATCGTTGCTTTCCTTCGTTGAGGCTCAGTAGACTCTGCAGTCGAGCGATGTCGCTTGTTTCAGTCTCAGACCCTTGTAAATCATAGGGTGCCCTTGGTGTAGCAGGTGGAGTGCTGTCGTCGTCAGGTTTTGCAGTATCATGCACACTGTTTCCTAACCCACTTTCGTCTGCATCATAGTACTTTGTTTCATTCACAGTAAGTCGGGATGTATCCATCTTGGCGTCGACGAAAGATCCATCAGCAGATGGTTTTGATGAATTGCCAGCGCTCTTCTCTTGTGCCCGTGGGATTTTCTCTTGCCGATCCACCCAGGATACTGACAGACTCTTGTCGTCGCCAGCTTGAGCCGAAGCTCCTGCGTTTTCAATGTCAGCAGCATCGATATCATTGTCATCTTCCCACCCATCTCCCGTTATCAAGTCGTCATCAACATCCACCTCAGAAACAGTAGCCAAGGCATCGACTGTAGATCCTCCCCTTGACGCTGCCAAAGAAAGCCGTGATGATGATGTTGGAAGACCTTCGCCTTGGGGCGTGTGATCGACAACAGGACCAAATTCTTCTTCCTTTGCTTCGTCAGCTGGAATCGACGACTTGCCATCGATCGTTGCCATCTCAGATGAGCCATCTCTCACAATCTCGGGAACTGCACCCCGCTCTTCCTCCGGCACGAAATCTACCACCTGCGCACTATTGCTGCTATCATCTGCTTGAGGATTCGGCATTTGATTCCATTCGTTTGGAGTCTGCCTGCCTGCGGATCTATCCTCCCCATCGATTGCTGTCTCGATCGCCAGATCCAAATCGTCATCAGCAACAGATTCTAGAGCCACAACAGTCGATCCTGTTGGAGCTCGACTTGCGAAAGGTCCAGGCGTCGGAGTTTGGTCGACGACGGGCCCGAAGATTTCCTCTTGTCCAAAATAATCACTCTGGGAGTTTAATTCAGATGGATCAGCTGCGACTATGGTAGAAGCGTCTCTGGGACGAAAGGCGCCAGTTTGCTCTGGAACGTGATCAACCAAAGGAGGCATTTCATCCGCTGCTTCGTCTTCGAGATTTTCACCATCTGTACTGTCTTTTTCCTCTCCTGAAAGTACTGATGGTTCGGCGTTTGCCGCCGTCGATGAATCTACTGGGGTTGGGCTCCCTATTCTAGGTATTCGGTCGACCAGGTGATCTGAATCGCCAGCGCGTTGCCTTCGATCAGTGAGTGGTGACATCAGTTCACCCAGGCCGTCATCTTCCCATCCATTGCCACCGCCCATTGTTGCTGAATCTTCACCAGATGCATCACCTGCCGATGCCGCACCAAGGGTCGATAAGCCGCCCACGGTGGAAGCACCAAACCAAGTTGCGTCTGTGTCATCGTACGCTCGAACATCAGCTTCCGTTTCTCCAGTCTTGGTACGCATTGAAGCTTGAACCGATATTTTGCTGCTCAATGTGGGAGCTGGAGTTTGGTCTACGACTAGCCCATACCTGCTTGCCCTTTCGTCAAAATCATCGACTTCGGAGATGACATCTAGTGGGTCAACCTGCACCATTGTTGATGCATCCGTTGGTCTGGCATCACCTCTTCCTGGCACATGGTCCACAAGGTTGTCTTCGTCTTCCGTCTGAAAGTTGACACTGTTCTTGTCTGGTATGGAGGCATCTTCCAACTCTGGCATTTCGTCATCCCAACCTGACGTTTCTGCGATGGATGCGCCAGGTACGGTAGTGTTGTCCATATCATCTTCTATCTTGTCAGCTCCAAGGCTATTCTGTGTCAATATTGAAGCAGCCACTGAATTGCCCTTTGACTTGGTGGTGCTAAGCGGAAGATGATCGACGACGGGACCAAAATCCATTGCTTCACCCTCTGCGATTGTATCCACCTGTGTCATATCGTCGTTGGTATCTACAAGTACACGAACGGATGCGTCCATTGCAACCCGTTTCTGTTTTTGTTTTGGGACGTGGTCGACAAGATGCTTTTCTTTGGTATCAGAAGAATCCTCATTCTGCCAGCCACAGCCTTCAACGGCAGATGCTCCAGCAGATTCTTCATCGTCCATATCTTCGTCACGTCGGTAATCTGATTCCACGTCTGTCTTTTCCGCCACCCCCTGTACCGTATCGTCCTCCAGTCTTGTGCCAGTCGGCATCTGAGCAGACGCCTTCTTTTTGGTAGCTGGGGTCTCGGGCGTATGGTCCACAACTTTCCCAAACAGATTCTCCTCATCATTGTCCACGCTATCTCTCGACCCTTCTCCCAACTCCCCACCAATTGTGGTACCGCCAAAAACTGTGGTCGATGCAGCACCGGCAGCTCCATCCCCAACAATGGAGGGGGTATGATCTACAACTGGGACTTGCGTCGCCGTTGGAGTCAGCGAAGAACCAAATGGGACTCCAACGGATGGCGCTTCTTGAGCCGCAAACGAAAGCCCCTGCACGCCCATTCCAGCTTCAACAGCTCCTGGGGTCGTCGTTTCTTCCTTTTGCGAAAGACTTGTCTCTTCATCAATCGAATCTAAGCTCTCTCCAACAGATAAGTGTCCACCAGCATCAATCGTCAGAGCGCGATGAAAGGATTTCGACGCTGTAGGGGTATGATCCACAACTTTCTTTGATCTTCTTTGCTGCTGCTGAGAAGATCCAACATCTCCAGAATCAAGACTATCCCCCACCGAAGCGGCGCCTCCGAGTGCCACCAAGGAAGCGGATTGCATTTCGTCAGTCTGATCATCCAATGCCGAAGTCGCTGTCAATGTACTTTGAGTCGCTAGTACACTGTCAGAATTGAACATGCGACGTGCGTGTGCTGGTGATGCCAAGGATGGAGTGCGATCCACCATATTACTATTGTAATTGGATTGAGGTTGCAGTTGACTGCGAGAGTTGTCCACCGACAAAGTGGAATCACGAGAAATGTCATCTTCTCCAGTTTCCAAAGCATTATCCGTTAGTTGACTTCGTCCTCGTTTCAATTCATATCCTGCGTCGGAGGGAGCAGGAACGTGGTCTACAACATCCCCTACAACTTCATCCAAATCAGCATAGTTGGATTCGTCCCAACCTTCATCCATGGTGATCGCAGCCTCAGAGGCAATTGCTGCACCACCCCTTTGGACTTGTGGTGGAAGTGGCGGAGGTGGTGTCGAGTCGACAATAGAAGTTTCCAACCCGGTATTCCCGTCAATTTGATGAGGTTCCTGTTGATCTACCATCGTATCATCATCATTATCGTCATCCAGATCCAAATCATCTAGGGCATCTTCATCGTCGCCCCAGCCTTCTTCGTCTCCTTCTGTCTCAAATGTAGCTTCTCCGTACTCATTATCGGTAATGGCACCAGTAGTCGACATACCCATAGTACTGTCCTCCAATGGAGTGCTGGGATCCAAAGATTGTTCCCCCACTTCCATGCTTTGTTCTTGGTCTGCATCTTGATTTGTAGCAGCACCATTATCCCCCTCCTCCTCTTCATAATTACTACCATCATCCTCAACGGTTGTATCTAATCCCAAATCAATATCATCGTCCCAGCCGCTGCCAGCTTCTCCCATCATGCTGTCGTCGACGTCAACTGCGTTGAGACTGTCAGCTGGTGGAGCAGCTGGAGGAGGGGGAGGTGGTGGAGGAGGAGGCACAGACAAAGACTTGTCAAAGGAGACGCTCCTACCTTGCTTACTGTCAGGTGGTGGTGGAGGCGGCGGAGGCACAAAGCTGGATTGTTCTTGCGGTGGTGGTGGCGGCGGTGGTACATCATTCAGCGGAACGGAAAAAATATTGGCACCAGCAGCACCCGCTGCTTTGGGAGTGTCCAAATCATGATCTTGCAAATCAAAATCATCGTCCCAACCAGAATCCACCAATTGAGAGTCATCTGATGTGGACTCTGCTGGTGGTGGCATGACGGCCTGTTCAGAAACATTTAATGAGCTCTCCTGTTGATGTTGTAGTTGGTCATCCTCTGTCAGATTAGTTTCATCCGCCCCCACCCAATTGTGGTTGTTGGTGTCCGTATCTTGGGTCGAGTTAGTATTATTATTTTTGTCGGATGACGACAAGAAGCTCAAATCCGCATCCAATTTGGCACTTGCATTTTCCATGAAGGCTCGAAGAGAATCGGGCACAAAACTTTCATCTTCCTCATCATCGTCGTCACCAGAATCATCCACCAATTGAGATTCTGACGACGCTGGTTGCATGATAGCCTGCTCAGAAACATTCAAGGAACTCTCTTGTTGTTGCTGTTGTGGGTCGCCGTCCGCTGTCATGTTTGCGTCATCCGTGCCTTCTTCCCAGTCATTACTAGTTTGACCATCACCATCGTCGTCATCGAAATCAAAATTGTCATCCTCTTCCCAGCCGTCTTCTTCTTCGTCGTCCGGCTGCGTCACTGCGTCAATGAAACGCGTGAAACCACCCATGAATCCACCTCCAATCGACAAGGCATTGTCAAGACTTGCTTGTCCAACAGCTGCCACAGATGTATCATTGGTTTCCTCCTCTTCATATGAGGATCTCTGATCTTGACTAGTCTCTTCTTCTATGGATAATTCATCCAAATCGACATCGTCGTCCCATCCATCATCTTCGTCGTCATTCCCTCCTGTGAAAAAGTCCATCTTCCAATCTTGATTGTTTCAAAAATGCGATGAGAAATTTAGAGTTGTGACGGCTTTAGGGAACCCCAAAGGTTGTCTTGTGCGCACAGCTTAATTCCCTAGTGAACTACAATAAGACTTTAGATGTCGTTTTGGGCTATAGGCTTGGTGGTCGACAACCCCCAACCAGCTCGTG